AGAAGAGATAATGACAACCAAAGGGTTAGAATAGGTGATTTAAACGAAGCGTAAGAATACTCAAAGAAATACAACAAATATTCTTTGTCAGACATTATATCTCCATCTGGAAAGAAACAAAAACGACTGGGTAGAAATGCTTCAACTCAGAAAATTTTGACAAGAAATCCTGAGCTTCATGATATCAGTAGCATTTCATGGAACAAGAGCATATCTTATAGACAAAAGTCTTATACCAATATGTTATGTTAGACCCAGTTGTTGGATATAACTCATAACATATGGTTCATTCGATACGGAACGTTGCAGTGAAGGCTTACTTTACATCGTTCAGAAACCGAAGGACTTCAACACAAAAAGATATAAGATAGGAAGGACATATAATATAACTCAAAGATATGACAGTACAGTCAATAGAGTCAAGGTTGTGTTTGTTAATGATATGAGAGCTGCTGAAACAGAAACTGCTTGAAGTTTTTGAGAAAATGTATGGTGCTTCCCACGAAAGGTAAAGAAACGTTTGAAGTAGATGAGATAGATAAAGCTATAAAATTATTTGACGAAGTTGCTGAAAAATACATGTAAAGCGTTTATTTTTGGTCTTTTGTGAAAGTCAGAAAAATAAAGTTAGTTTTATTTTTATTTATTTTTTTATTTTGTATGTAAAGACAGTAATGACAACATTAGAGAACACAACAACTGCTATCGTTCATGAAGCCATAAATGAAGAATACGAGTACATACAGTATAACAAACAGTTACGTCTCATTCGTTCAGTCAAAGATGACATGTACCAAATGCAAAGTATAATGAATGCTCTTCGTTCTACAAAGCAAGCATATCATTGGTTTGAAAACCAACAGACAAAAGAACTTTTAGAAGAATTTCCTCATATGCTTGCTTCCCTCGGAAAACCGAGAGAAGAGATTCCGTATGAAAATCGCAAGAATTTGGCTCCTGGTTTGAAAGGTTATTATGTTCATAGACTTTTAGTAAATGCTGTAGCAATGTGGGCTTCACCTCGTTATGCTTGTTATATTTTCATGATGTTAGATGAACTTCACAGACAAGAACGTGAAGAGATGGAAAAGAAACTTCATGCAAAAGATGAAGTCATTGAAGCAAAAGACAAAAGCATACAGAAAAGAATACCACGTTCGGTACCAAAAGGAAAGGAAAAGAGTTATAAGTATATGATATATACTGAAGAGTTGGAGAAAGAAGAAGATAAAGATATGGTTATGTTGCATTTAGTCAGAAGAAACAACAAGAGCTTTTACGACTTAGCTAAGATTTACAAATCTGACAGAAACTGGTTCTATCGTGAAAACTTACCGATTTCAATGACACCGAATGAACAAATAAAGGAAATTGTCAAAAATACTCTTCCTCAAACACACTATGACATCAAATGTTGCACAATACTTACATTCAAAGAAGACTTAACATTACTGAAGGAAAAAATAACAGAATATTTCGATAACTTCAAAGAGGAAGAATAAAGTCACGACAACATTAACGAAGAAGTCACGACAACATTAACGAAGAGAGAATGAGGTGAAAAAAGAGGTGAAAAAACGGGTGAGATCTCACCTCTTCACCAAAAAATATATTTTTGCTTAAATAGCTTCAGGGTCTATTTCTTCAACCATTTCACTTCCTTCGTCAATGTCAATAGAAGCTTCTTCAACCTTTGGTAAGAATTTCTGTATAACATCTTTGTTCGTTATTGTCTTCAGAGATGAAGGATAATATTTCACAGATGTTTCACCCTTCTTATATTCTTTCTGTTCGGAAAGATTTAAACAATACTGAAGAAGTCAATATTAGAGTTCTTTATAACAGTATAATGAGTATCTTTGACATTCACGAAGAAACTCTTTTGTTTCAAAACTACTGCTAACTCTTGTGAAGTATAACGTTTGCGGTCAATGACGATAGCTAATGGTCTGACATACTGACCAAACTTAGATTCTTTCACAAACTTCTTGTTAAAGATAACATTAACATTTGAAGCATTATTGAACTCATTCTTGATGGCAGTAGCGAGAGCATTGTATGAAAAGAACTTGCAATCTTGCATGTGTTTCATTAAAATAAAAATATTAAATTATTTTGAAAAATAACTTAAAAAATCTAATCTAATTTTTTCAAAAAATATTTTTTTATTTCCTACTAAAGATGTATCGGAAGTTGTCTAAGTTAGAACACTCGGAAATAAAACAACTTCTTACAGAAGCTAACATAGATGTTGCAAAACATTACGCAACAAACAAAAAAGCACTCGCTGACATCCTCAATGACTATAATGGTGCAATAAGTTATGATAGAATTCATGAGTTCATAAAGCCGCAACGCGGCGAGGACGAAGTCCATGCAAGAGCATTTCCTTTAAATGACGTTGCTATTGACTTATATCATAGACGTTCAGTACCTCATGAAGTAAGAAGAGAAATGTTTGACATAACAAATGCAAACGTTGGTGAAACAAGAAGAAGAGACGACACACTGAAACAACAGAGAAGAGAGATGTTTAAGAGCGCTATAGAACAAGTTCGCAAAGCTAACGATGTCATTCGTTCCATTGACGACAAACCAAAAGAAGGTGAGAGATGGTTAAAGAAAGATGAAGAGAATAGGAAGAGGAATGTTAAGACAGGCAATAGACTCATTGACTTTAACATCGAAGCTTTAGATGAACCAAACAGAGACTACTTACACAAACATTTCGGTAAGGTTTTCATGAGACTCTTAGAGAAATTAAAATAAACTCACAACAAAGATGGATGGTATGTTATAAACTTGGTGGAAAGTATGAATGTTCTACGTTAAACCTCAATAATATTGGAACATTACTACATCAGCTCTTGAAGGAGAACTTTATATCAGAGATAGAAGCAAATGCTGCAGGTATTGTTGAAATGCACTATGACTTCTTCTTGACAAACATAAAGAATCTTACTGAAATAAAGATGTATGATTTAACAGAATATGAAGGCTTAACGATGTCAGATGTAAAGAAAGGCAAACCAAAAAAGAGACCATATAGAGATGAAAGCACACTGACAAATGACCAGAAAGCCATTTTGGAAGCTCTTAAGCAAACAGGAAACCCAGCACTTATAGAAAGCTTTTGGAAAGATAATGGTGAAAAGAAGTTTTATAAGAAGAGAAGCGGTCAGTTCTGGAAGTATCTTTGCACATTACCTATAAATCTTGAACGCTACCAAATCTTCAATGAATGAACAAAAGAACTGCAGCACTTATGACAGAAGACAATTGTTTCGTTTATGCTTGCATTCAGGCTGGAGTAGATGGAGAGACTATTGACCACATGAGAGAAGTCATTCGTGTTAGAGACTTTCCTCAAAGTAAAGTACAAGAAATTTCTGACGCAACAGGTATAGCATTTAATGTTACCATTGGTTATTTCAATGACTCAAGACATAATGAAATAAAGAGATACATACCAAAAGAATGTGAAACTGTTCGAACTATTGACTTACTTCTTGTTGAAGACCACTACATGCTAAATGAAAGATTACCAATGACAACATATTTCATTCGCAACTATATAGAAATCTTGAAGGAGTGTGGTGGAATGAACATTGAGAAACAAATGAAGATTTATACAAAGAGAGAAGATAAATATGTAGTTCGTTATGATAGAACAACACCGTTATGGGATGTTATGAAAACATTGTGGGAGTGCAAATATTTCGAACCTATTTCTTATGGAGAACTTTTCACATATACGACTGACTTATATAAACAGAACCTTGCACCATTTAAAGATTTGACATATGCTCCAAAGTATTGTGTACAACTGAAGAAGAAAGCCGAGTCAAAAGAAGTAAATAAAAATAAGTGCAAGTTCATTCCTGAGCACGTTTTCTTTGCTGACTTTGAGTGCAGTACCGATGGCTTTCATAAAGCTTTTAACATCTGTTATGACAGTGAAGATGGTTCAGTGAGTGAAAGCATTTGGGGTCAGAACTGTGCAACAGAATTTTTGGAGCGACTTCCTGACAAGAGTTTAATATATTTCCATAACCTCAGTTATGACATAAACTTCATCTTAAGACACATGACAGAAGTGAAAGGAACTCCCATCATTAAAGGTTCACGAACAATGCAAATAACTGGCTTATATAAAGGAAGGGCAATTATTATAAAAGACTCTTACAGTGTTATAAATAAGAAGCTTAAACTATTTCCTGCTATGTTTAACTTACAAACAGGACCGAAAGAAGTATTTCCATACAACTACTACAGCAGTGTTTTGTTAGCAAATGACAACAGAACTGGTGTCATTTCTGAAGCATGTAAGTTTATCCGGATGCGATACATTCATGAAAAACATAGATTCCATCAAAGGTTGCAGAATAGATGAGAACCACTTCGACTTAGAAAAGTATAGCACATTTATTGCAAACAAGATGTAAGAATTTTAAGAGAAGTTTTGTTAAGTTCCGCAATGACATATTGAAAGAGTTTGATTTAAACGTTTATGACTACGTTAGTATTTGTTCAATTGCTAACAAATTATTTGAGAACAGAGTGTACTTCCCGAATGGAAATTTATATGACCTCTCAAATAAACCAAGAGAATTTATTTCACGCTGTATTCAAGGTGGAAGATGTATGCTGTCAGATAACATTAAACAAAAGAGCGAAAAGAAACTCATTGCTGATTTCGACGCTGTTTCATTATATCCATCAGCTATAGCAAGACTTTATACTTTAGAAGGTATTCCAAAGGTTATGAAGAAAGAAATGTTAAGCACAGAGTATCTCATGAGACATTTATTCGATGACGACCAAAAGGAACCCATTGGTGAAAAGTTTATGTCTGGCTTCTTTGTTCTCATTAAGATAACAGAGATTGGAATACATAGACACTTTCCTTTAATAGTTTGTGACCCTGAACTAAATCCAGAACTTAACGTTCCCAGAAGTTCAAACACTTGCTGTTTAATGTATGTTGACCATATAACATTACAAGACCTCATAAAATATCAAGGTGTCAAATGTGAAGTGTTGCAAGGATACTATTACGATGGAAACAGAGATATTAGAATAAGAGATGAAGTAAAGAAGTTGTTTGAGTTAAGGTTAAAGTATAAGAAAGAAGGAAATCCTTTGCAAGAAAATATAAAGCTCATTCTGAACAGTATTTATGGCAAAACTATTCTATCTCCTATTGAGTCAAAAATAACCATAGTAATGACAAAGATGCTATAAGATATGCCATCAGAAACTACAACCATATAGTGAAGTTCGAAGGTTTGGATGGTTCAGATAAAACTATTTTCAAGCTAACGAAAAGCATTTGCAGACACTTTAACTTCTGTCCACTTGGTGTTAACATTCTGTCTATGTCGAAGAGAATAATGTGTGAAGTATTCTGTACTGCTGAGGACTTAGGAATGGACATCTTTTATAGCGATACGGACAGTATGCATCTCTACAATGAAGATATCCCTCGTTTAGCTGAAGAGTTTGAGAAACGTTATGGAAGAGTTCTCATTGGTAAAAACCTTGGTCAATTTCATAGCGACTTTGCAGAAATCACACCTGATAAACAAAGTTTAGCATACAAGTCAATATTTTGTGGAAAGAAGACTTACATAGACTTACTCACGAATGATTTAAATGAAGTTGCATTTCACTGCAGAATGAAAGGCGTGAAGCAAGATGTTATTGCTTTAACCGCTAATGAAATGTTTCCTGACTCTGTTCAGTGTTTCTATGATGAAGATAAAGGTTTAATGGTTCCGCAAGGAACATATGACAAAGACTCTGAGTTCAGTTTAATGAAGTTATATAAAGCACTTTATGACGGTCAAGAGATTGGATTTGACTTATGTAAGTCATGTCAACCTTGCTTTGAAGAGAAGTTTAACTTTCTATTCAGACTAAGACTTCATTCATAAGAAAGCTTAAGTTCTGAAACATGAATGAGAAAAATAATGAGGTCATTTATTTTTGTCAGCAGTGAGACCATTCATGATAAAAATAAGCCGCTAGCGGCAAGGGCGAAGCCCATGTGGTCATTTACAATACTGCGATGGTAGAGTTTAAGAGTTGTGCTTCAATGTAGAGACAGTCCTTATGGTCTGGAGGTAAGAACACTGGGCAGTTATGGTCATGAGTGGAGAACATGTCTATCCAAAACTCACGATTGAAGCCAGTTAATTTATAGTATTTAGGATTTGGCAGTGGTGTAGTTCTTGTATGACCAATGAACTCATTTTCAACTCCCTTACTTAAGTTTGAATATAATATAGCTTGCTTTCTATCCCAAATGCCGGTGTTACAATCTTTGAAAATTCATTTTTCCTCGGAAGCATTGCATCATAATTGAAAACATTCTTGAAATCATCACTTGGTTCAGAGATTTGAAATCTTATACGTAATGGATTTTCTTTCTTTTTAGCGACTTCATTGAATGGTGAGAATACAATGAATTGACAGTCATGAGTTCCATCTTCATTTTCATTAAATTCATAATGAAAGTCTATAAGTTGTGGCTGACTACCTTCTTCTTTCAGTTGTGCAAGAAACTCACGTAAAGGCTGTAAAGTTTGTACTTCAATGTTGAACTTTTTCTCGAACATCTCATTAAATGAAATCATACAGTTGCAATGTTGTATCGTCTTTAAAGTATTTGTATATGTGAATGTTTTGGGCGCTTAAAGACTGTTCGTCATTTTCTATCTCGACTTGAAGTATAAAGTCAACCTTTCTGAAAGCACGTGTTATATACATAGATGTTATGCCAATGTACTTCTCTTCATTTATGTTCACAATCCAGTCTGTTGGAAACTTAAACGTTACTCTGTTCCCCTTTATTTTGACGTCAGGGTTTTCACTACTGAACGCAACAGATAAAGGTATTTGTCTATACATTTAATTCGGATAAAAATAAACCATTTACTCTTTCTTTGCTTCAGCTTCTTTAGCTTTTGCTTCAGCTTCTTCTCTAGCTTTCTTCGCCAGCAAACGTGGGTTCTTTTGTCTTCCAGCAGCTAATGCAGCAAGTTGTTTTTCACTAAGTTTTCTCTTTGGTCTCTCTGGCTTTTGTTCTTGTTTTTGTTCCTTCAGTTCGGATAAAATTTGCTCACGAATTTCTTTCTTCAATGCTTCAACATCTATGACCCCTTGGGTCTTGTCCGTAGGGCTTGTCTGAGTCATTTGACTGCAGATAAAAAAACAAAATTAAAACTTTAACCGATGTAAAATGAGCTTGTCAAAATCAGAGCGAGAGTCTATTATATTAAATGACGCAAGAGGAATACAACATCCTTTCTATTACGTAAGTCAGAGTAAAGATGGTAAAATATACGTAAGAAAAAGAAAGGTTCCATTAGCGAATGCAGAAAGCGACAACATTAAGGTGTATGGCAAGGGTGAAGTCCACGAAGCCATATAAAACCTTCTGTTCAAACTGAAAAGTCAATAGAACCAGAAGAAAAGAAGCCAGATGTACTTTCAATAACGAACCAAGAGCTTATTGCAAAGTTCGTGAATTTCATTGAAAAACAAACCGAGTCAAAGAACCCTGACCCGCCAGTGAAAGAAGTTGAGACAAAAGAGAATGTACAGTTCATTGAAAATGTCAAGAAACAACTTCCACCACGAATGCCAAGAAGAAGAGTGAGAATAATGAAGTAAATAGATATTTTTATCTGAAGTAAATACATGCAGAACGAACAGCTAAACGAATTTACTCCAGCAGAGCATATTCATCAGATTCGCTCATATTTCGATATCATAGACAATGCAGTTCAAATTGGTGACACTAATAGAAAATATTCTGACGCAAAGATTCCATCACAACCTGGAACTGCTAAAGATAACACATGGGTAACATTCAATCTCTCACCTCCTGGTGAAAATATGTTGGACCTTTACAATACATTCATTACGTATAAAATGGAAGGTCAATTTATTGTAGATAAAGAAATTGGTTCAGGTTCCAATAAAACAAACCCACCAGGATTTTGGATTGGTTTCGATGACGCTTTCTATGCAGTTGCTGGATATCAAATCCTTGCAAATGGTCGTATCGTATATTCTCAAGACAACGCAAGAGAAGAAGCATATATAACTTCAAACTCACAAACTACCGAACAAATAAAGAAAGTAGATGTTTTCTCAAAGACTCGACATGAAGATGTATGGAGTCATTCGGGAACATGCAGAACAGGACAAATTGTTAGTGGTCCAATTACAGCAGGAAAATCATTTGATTTTAAGCTTCGTTTAAGAATTCCTGTTAGAAGATTCCTTCCATTAGAAGCTATTCGATTTATTCCAGCTTTTGGAGGAAACGTTCAGCTTAAAGTAAAGTTCAGTAGCGACGCCTTACAATGCACATCTATATCTGTAAATGATATCGTTGCTTTCAATCCAACTCTTAAAGTTGCATTTGCTTCAGATTCAAATCCACCGACAAATAAATTTGTTCCATGGAATGAACCATTCACTATGATAACGAAGGCAGTAGAAGCTAGTGGAACAGTTACTATTACAACTGTAACCCAGCAACTATTTCGAACAAAGATGGATTTTAATGAATGTTTCATTCATCCAAAGTCATTCTCTTTAGACCCTAACATTTATACAGAACTTGTAGAACATTATACAAACGAGGCTTTATGTTTTCCTGTTAAAGTTATGGATTGGATTCCTATGGACGGTTCATTCTCAAAGAATACAGATAGTTCAAGTGCAACATTTACAGCAGCTTATACGCCTATTAATGTTAAAAGTATTTGGGCACTATTTAGAAAGAAAGACAACTATTATGTTAATTTTGAGAACCCTAAGTTTAAATATCTTCAGCTTTCCATGGGAGCTTATGGAAATATGCCTGCAGAACCTGAAAAATCATATGGACCTGTATTTTATGAAATGGTTGCGAACGCTTGCAATACAAACAATGATATGATAGGATTTAATGAAGATGTTATGAGGTCATTGGTGGATGATGGTAGTGTGGAACATAAATGGGATAGCTATGACAACACACATTTCTTATGTGGTTTTCCAACAGAAGTGGACTTTTGCTTCCAGCAAGGTCAAACATCTACTGCTCCAATAACATACAAATTGTCTGTTAAAGGACCTATTGAACTAGCAACTGAAAATGTACCAAAGCCACTTATTGGATTTATGAGGGATTGTTGCTTTGCCATTCAGGTGCGTGCTAATGGAATCCCAATAATAAGATTAGATGACTATAACTTAGCTACGGACGACGGTGAGGAATAAAGGATGAACGTTTATTTTTAAAGCTTATAAATGAGTTCTTCATCAAGCTCTCGTGAACCTTCACCATCTATGAAACAAACTTTACCAAACGATTATGGAGCACCTATTGAATATTTCTTACGAGCTGCACAATGGCAAAGAGCAGTCTCACCAAGGTTAGGTGTCAAAAATAGCATTTGGTCAAGTCCTTATATAAGATATGGTCTCCCACTAGGTTTGCTAGCTACAGCAGGAGCAGTTATGATGTTGAAAAGAAATAAAGCAAATGTTGTAAATAATACTGAAGTAGTTGAAGTTAAACAAACTCCAACACCTTCGCCAAAACCAACGCCTTCACAAGCAAAACCTTCAATGACTCCTGAACCTATGGAAGTACAAACTCCTGTTCAAAAGTCAACTCCTAAACCGACTCCAACATTTAAACCAGAACCTACGCCTCAAATAAATCGTAAAACTCCTGCGTTTCCTTACTGAAAAATAACGTTATTTTTATTTAATATTAAAATTTTTATTTGATTGAAATGACAAATAAAGTCACTGAAGCAATGAAACAAAAGTTTTTGGTAGAATACATTAAATCAGGAACTATTCCAGAAGGTTTTTACGTTCATCAAATGAAGGATGGTAGAGTTCAGTTTAGAAAGATAAAGCAACCATTAGATAAAGAAGGAATTTTGAGAAAGATTAAACTTCATGAGGACAACATTGCTGAACTTAAGAAGAAGTTAGAAGAGTTGGAGAAAGGAAGAGAGTTATAAAGCAATGAATTCAACAGGGTGAAAAAAGAGGTGAGATCTCACCACTTCACCTAAATTTATTTTTGTGCTATGTTTTCATACGTGTGAGGGTGGTGATATCATTAATTTTTAAGTTTATTTTTTTTTTACTGAAAATTTTTATTTTGGATGTAAATGACAGAACAAAAGCAACTCATACAAATCGAAAAATATAACAAACATACATTTAAACATTTATTCTTCCTTCCTGAGCATAACATGTTCTTTCAAATACATCCGAGACCAGTTGACTTTTCATTGACTGATAAAGATAGAAATAGTTATATCATTAAACCATATGATGACGAAGGTAAGTTATGTAAATTGTACGTTAAGAAGTTAGAGAAAGTTTATGGCTTCAAGTATGACTACAATAGGGTTAACACTGATGATGAAGATATTGAGGAAAATTTATGAGAACATTAGTGAAGTCGTTAGTGAGAACGATAGTGAGAACGTTTATTTTTTACATTAGTGAGTTCGTTAGTGAAGTGAAGTGGGTGGTGGTTTTGTAAATATTTAAGGTTAAGTTAGTGTTGTCGTTTGTGTTGCAAAATATACGTTAACGGTTTTGTAAAGTGTCAAATTCACAAGTATTGGGTAAGGAAGCGCGCAGTGCCTCCGTACCCAAGACTTGTATACTAACTAGCTTACGTGGCATTTTAAGTGAAGTAAAAAACGGTTTTTGACAGATGTATATATGACACTTTTTGTTCAGCACAAAAAACTACTCGGTCAAAGTGTTGTCAGTTTTGTAAAATAACCGTCCTATCTCATTCTATAAGGGGGGAAAGGCTTCTCAAAGTATACTTCCTTGGAACGCCTGTAACTTTTCCTGTAGCGACGATAGACCCTTACTTGTCCGGACAAAGTTATACTATTTTGAGTGCTCTACAAAAAAGTCAACGGCTGGTCGGCTGGGGTTCGGTCCTCCTCTTGGATCTTGGGAAAAATTTCTTATGGGCTAGAGGGCGCAACGCGCCTGGAAGCCCCACTACCTTTTTTTTGAATATAATTTAAAAAAGTGAGATTCATTTTTTTGGTCAAAAAAGTTGAATCTGAGTATATTGCCTCTGCTATTATCTGGTTATTGAAACGGAATTGGCCCACATTATTAGTATGAAACAATGATATACTTGGGACTAAAGAATGCTGATATTGCAAAAATCCAATTATTACCATATACAAATCATCAAGTCTTGCATTAAACTTGATATCTTCATTTGTTTCGAAATGTCATTACAGTTGTAACCTTATGTATTACTAATTATTACTAATTATTACTAAAGTACTAATTGAAGCAACAGATTGGCTAGTCATTCTGGTATAGTATTATTCATACTATCAAGTGATAAGCTATCAAATTTCTTAGTTTAATTTCCAATTTATATGATTTACAGATACAGAACTGGTGTTTATTGTACTCTAGCAAGAATCACCAACTGATAAAAATACTATGATTAGAAGACTAAACATGAGGGCTCCATACCAATTTTATTCAGAATAATTTTATATCTTGTATTTACTTTTGAATAAAAACATGATCCACTTCTTAAATTGAGCCAGATATATTTTTATATTACATACAATGCCTTATAATCTATGAATTATATATTGTATTTCATAGAAACTTATGATTGATTTAAAACACTGGAAAATAAGCTATATTTATATATCTTTGAAAAATAATTATTGGATTCTGCTGTATAATTGACATGTTTTAAGGGTTAAATATATAGATTAACAAAAACAAAATGCACCTATTGATTTCTAATACATTAAAAATGCCGTGTTCATTTATTAATTATAAATCTTCAAAATAGGGTTGTTAAAAATATCAAAAATTAGCGTTTTGAAGACACCATGGTGTCTTATAATTTTCCCTTCCTTATTGGCGTGTAGAAATAAATGCGCCAATAGATTGAAGAAGAAGAATTGTTTTTCTCTTAATGAACTTTAATCCTTTTGATATAAGAATATTAAAAACATTAATATAATTTCGATTTCGGAAATTAAATTTCCAAATTTTTTGTCGATTTCGGAAATAACAGGATCCCGCATCCAACACGCAACAACAAAACACAAAACACACTTTTTGGTTCTTTCATCATTTTAATCGTAATTTATGTAATACATGATTTGGATAAATTTTACAAATATAGAACCTATATTATATTCTTTTCAAAGATTCTTGCAAATCATCAAAAATAATTGTATTTTAAAAAACGATCAAATTATCCTTTCATTATTTTAAACTTAAATTAGTTTTTATGATTGACTAAAGCAATCATATTTATTCATCATTAAATAAACAAAAAAATAATATTTGAGAGTTATTTCAAAAAAACACATTGAATTTATTAATTTGTCTCAATTTCAGTATTATCAATTTTTATAATTTCAATATTTTGAAATACACTTTTTAATATTTCAATATTTATGATATTTCAATGTATTAAGTGGTCTCAAATTGAGCTTCTCAAATATAAGTTGGCCTATTCAAATAATAAAATTAAATAATATTTAAAATAATAAATAAAAGTGATTGAGGTCATAGCAAAACGGCTGTTTCAGTCATTAATTCTTAAAAATAAAAAGGGTAAAAACTAAATAAAATGGGTAAAATTCAATAGTGTCTCTGCTATCGTTCAGTTTGAAGGTGTCTTTTGAAACCGCAAGACACATTGAATTTTTGAATAGTGTATTATGGTTTGACAGACACCAATGAAAAAAATAAAATGATATTTATTTTAAATATATAAGATCCTTATATAAAATATAAATATTTTATCGTTTTATTTTCTTGTTTTAGAAATGTTTTTTATTGAAAAATCAATAAAACTAACTCCAAAATAAAATTTTTGATTTAAAGACACTATGATGACACCAGGCAAATCTTCCAAGACACCTATCGTCAGGAATCTAACAACCCTACTTCAAAATTTTTTCCTTCTATTTTATCAAAAAAAATCTCGAATTTAAAAAAACAATATTCAAATCTAGTAAAATTTCTTGGACATTTTCCAAAATAGAAAAAAATTAGGAGAAATTCGCCAAGAAAAATCCATTCCAGATGTCCAAAGCACTTGCTTTCAGTCAAAAACACCTCAAAAATTTTACATATTGATTTCGATTTTCATCAATTACTTAATGTCGATTGTTTACAGTTAACGTTACGATACCATTCACTTTACAATACATGAGAGCCATCAAAATTGTCAATTTCTATCATCATTACATAAAATTCATTTACGCTCTAAGCTTGACGTAAGCCCTTCACAGTATGGATAATAATTACTGAAGTTTTTCGAATAATAAATACTGAACGGTTGCAAATAAAGAAAAGAGGTATTTATAAAGTAAAAAAAATTAGCAGTTGCAGCCACCTTGAGATGGTGTAGCTTGAACTGGTCTTGGACCAATTGGTGAAGTTGATGGAGCCTGGAATGTTCCGCGGAGTTCGCCTTTCTTAACTTTCTCATTAATAGCACGAGCTAAGCGTACAAATGTATCGTTAATGTTAACACCATCTTTTGCGGATGTTTCTAAGTATTCAAGTCCATGTCTCTTTGAGAATGCTTCTGCTTCTGCTGTTGTAACTACTTTATCAGCGATATCTGCTTTGTTGCCAACAAGAAGTATAACAGCGTTTGGTGTTGATAGAGCATGAAGGTCGTTAAGCCAGCCATCAAGCTCACTGAAAGATTGTGCATCATCTAAACTAAAAACGAGAATAGCTCCAACGGCGTTTCTAAAGTATGCCTTTGATACGGAACGGAATCTTTCTTGACCTGCTGTATCCCAAATTGAAAGTTTCATAACTTCATCATCAAAGGTAACAGAATGAGATTTAAATTCAACACCAACTGTACTTTGACCTTCATCAGAGAAGGTTCCATCAACTAAACGTTGAACAATAGCTGTCTTGCCGACACCAGATGAGCCAACAACGACAACTTTGTAACTGTTCTGCGTGCTACTCATTTATTATATTTGATGAAAAACGATACCCTTAGTTCTTATAATTTTTTGTTTTTCTGAAATTTTAAGAATTGTCTATGATTTCCATTATCAAGAAAATTTCGTTCGATTCAATTTTTTTTTCAAACCTTCAGTTCAAAAGTTTATTTTGTCAGATCCACATAAACCAAATTTTTAGCAAATTCATATGGAAATAGAGCTTTCGGAAGAATATCTCATATAGTTCAGAATATCAAAGTCACATACTTTATAACTAATATGCTTAAATAATGTGTAACTGCAGATATTCAAAAATTCATATTAGAAGGCTTTACATTTTTTCATATTCACAGCTAAGTTAAACGAACAAACATATTTTTAATAGAATTGCCACAGAACATCCTCCTTTTTTGCCTTATCTTTCAATGAAATTGGGAAATAACATTGAATTTATTCTTTGTAGTGCCATCGTATTATTCTTACTATACATTAGAAATTGATTTGATAGAAAATCCATAGTTTCTTATTTCTATATAATAAGCTTTATTTTATTTAGTGAAACTGATGAGTTGATTTACAATATCTAACTAACTTCTGAAATGAAATAAAAGGATAATGTGAAATCGATCATTTTACCGAATTTTAATCCGATTTTATATAAAATCAATGAATGTTAAAATACAATGAATTGAAAGGTGTATACCACTTTATGAGTGTGTTGCAGGCTTAATTCAACTTAATAAGAATTTTCATCAAATTTTAAAAAATATTTACTATTAACAGTTACATTCTTTTTGTAATTCTTTATGTGAGGTAATATAAAAATGAATGACCGCTCTACAGCCCATATTATGAATGTTTTAGAATTAATGACAATTCCTCTAACGAATTTTATGTGGAGAATAAGAATTGTTATTGATTCCTATGTATGATAAAGCAAAAACTTAAACTTCTGAAACAAGATCCCTCAACCGACAAATTGAAAGGGGTCAATTCAAAAAGGGCAATTTTGTAATGTCGAAAGAGGCTGAAGCACCAGCTCCTGAATTAAAGTATGGCCAGCTTCCAAGCGAGGAGATCCAGCAGAAGGTTGTTAGGGAAGTTCTTGAAAAAGTTAATGGCCTTGCTTATTTAATGCGCAGAAACTTTGATAACAATAAGATTGACGACGCTCTTAAGTATGCCACACTTATGCTTGAAGAAATGAAGATCAACACACTTTCTCCAATCCATTATAACGAACTTTATCAAGTCGTTCTTTCCGAATTAACAATTCTTAAGGATTACTTCAACGACAGCAATTTCTTCACTGACCGCCGTATTGCAGAACTCTATGAAATTCTTCAGTACACACCATCAATCGTTGCTCGTCTTTATCTTCTCTTCACAATTGCTCCAGCTTTCGTTAAGCGTGGACATGCCAAGGCAAACGACATAATGCGCGATCTCATCGAGATGGCTCGTGGCGTACAGCATCCAACCCGTGCTCTCTTCCTTCGTCACTTTATGCTCCATATTTTGAAGGAAATCCTTCCAGATGGCCAGAGAGAAGGTGGCACCATCGAAGATACACTCCACTTCATCCTTGAGAACTTCAAGCAGATGAACGTTCTCTGGGTTCGTCTCGAATTCTCTCTCGATACAAAGACAATCGAAGAGCGTAAGTTACAGCGTTCCCAGCTCAAGCAACTTGTTGGCCACAACATCCAGCGTATTTCTGACCTCCGTGGCCTTGATGTTGCTCATTACAAGGAAATCGTCCTTCCATGCATCGTAGAGCAGACAAAGGCATGCGGCGAGCCACTTGCCCAGTACTACATCATCGAATCCATCACACAAGTCTTCCCCGTTGAATTTCATATCGAAACTCTCGATATCCTCTTCAACTTACTCCAGCACCTTGACGATGATGTCAATACACTCGCACTTGTTACAAACATCATTCAGCGTCTACAAACTTTCTGCAGATCCGATTCAAACGCCATCAATACAGTTCGTCTTGTTGCCGTACAGATTTACTCACTTCTCCATGCCGACCAGAAGTTTGCCCTCGAAGATACACTCGACATGCTCGGAACTCTTCTTAATTTCACACTCGAAGCCGATGCATCCAACTTCGACAACGTCAATGCCATTTTCAAGCTTGTCGAAGGCCATATCGAAGACATTGCTGGCGAATCCCGTCTTGATTCCGTCTCTGTTTCCCGCAAACTCTGTTTCTTCCTTGTTACACCACTTCGCGAGATGAAAGATGCCTCAATGATCTTTGATCTTGAGTATTTCCCAATTCTCGTGAACCGTCTTCGCTTCCTCGACAGAAAGGCCATTGCCCTTGAAGTCTGCAAAGGCTTTGCCAGGACAGAAGCCTACATCACCGATGTTGACAACATGAAAGCCTTCTTCAACATCGAACAAGTTCTTTTGAAGAGAGCTGATGATTACGAGAAAGATCCAGATGGAGAACCATTATCTGTCGCATTATCCAATGTTGGCAGAGTTTTCCATTTGATCAGGGATCGCAAGGATCTTGATAACACATTCTCTCTTTTGACTTCTATTTCTGCTGCATTGCAGACATTCGATCCAGAAGTCAAAGAAGCTCTTTATCTTCCATTTGGCGAAGATTTGTTGAGAGTTGCTGTCGAAATCAACCAGACACAAGGATGCCAAACAACAGTAAGAGGTGTTCTCCAACAAGTCTACATCTTGTTGACACAGAACGATCCTCCAGCTATTCCTTCTTTCTGGTTGTTTGTTGAGGCAGCATTGATCTCAGACAGATACGGAACAGAAGGAATTACAACAGAGTTCTTCACAAACGCATTGAGAATTTGGAAGGAAGGAATGATCGATTCAAACATCAGATTCAGGATGTTGTTGAGTATGATCAGAACAGCAACACAACTCCTCAATGTCACACCAAACACATACTCTTCAATCACTTCAGAGTTGTGCTCATGCGCAGGAGGACTTCTCGCTAAGGAACAACAGGCAGAAGCTCATCTTTTGTGCGCTCACATGTTCAATGTTGACAGAAAAGGTGCTGGAAATGAAGATGATAATGAAGAGGAAGAAGATGATGGATCAGCATTCATGAACCCAATGAAGGTCAAGAACTGCCTTGTTAGGGCACTCAAGGCCGCTTCACAGATGATGGATAAGAAAGATATGTTGCCATGGTTCTACAAAGTTCTCGCTGAGGCAATTTACTTCATCGAGAAAGGTGTTGATATCCCAATCGATTGGTTCAACGCTTTGACAAACCAAATCGACCAGGAACACCAGAACCTTGGTTCTGACTTGGAGAACAAGTTGACTGAACAGGCAAAGAAGTTCTATATCAACACAGTAGCTCACAAGAACAAAGTTATCCAGACAAAGTAAATAAACTAATTTAATTTAGCTAAAATGTTCAAATTTTTATCTTTTTATGCTATGCTCCCATAATATCAATATATCTTTATTGTGATTGCTAAAAAAGTATAACAATAGTTATTTGAAATAACTTCTTCCCGAACAAAGTTACTGACGTTTTACTTTAGAAAATTTGGATAAAAAACTAGAGTGTCAAAAAATTGAGGGAATGTCAGAAAGTAGTAAGTGCACCCTTAATGTTCTGAACGACTGTGTTTGAACAAAATATAAGTTGCATAACATATATTTTTATCACAAGTATGTCATACAATTGGTTTCTAATTTTGAGAATTCCTAATACGAAAGATTTACATGAAGATTAGATTCACAAGATTGATATATCAATTTCTTTGAGGTTCTTTTTCAGATAAAGCTGAAATTAAATATCTTTTGTTGAATTAGCCGTGATGAAAATTAGGAAACTCCTTTATTGAATATATTTGGAGAAGATAAACTAGAAGTTATCAAAATTCTGACATTGGTAGAAATAGAAGTAAATACAACTGATTCCTAAGGAAAATCTGCATATAATTACCTGAGCTTTGCTTACATGAGTAATTTTGAATCATATTTATTTTGATGACGTAAACAAAAAGCCTATAAATAGAAAAAGAGAGCTTATAACATATCTAAAATTGATACAAAAATCAGACAAAATAATTAAATTATAAAATAAATCGTACCCAAATTAAGTTTATTAAACATAAAGCATTGAAAATTATAATCACACATTTATAGTGAAGATACACATTAGTTTTGAGGTTCTTTTGTTCAATAATTTTTTTGATTCAATTTTGTTCAAAGATGAATATTTGAACAAATATATTTTCATTACATAGGTATTATTTTAAATAAGTTTGCTTATTTGGACACCTATAAAAAGTCGATAGAAATTTGAAATTGTAAATGTAAGGAATGTATAATATATAGTAAGGATGTCAATTTGGAAGAAAAGTGAGAAAATTCCTAAAATGCTAAAAATGAATTTTCCAAACGTATTTTTGTATCTCATTTTTTGATTTTGAAAAAAATTTGGAGAGAAGAACTCTTCGTTTTTGAATTTTGTCACGATGGTTTTAAAGTATATTAGACACATGTATTGGTATTACTATTTTTGTATATTTTGAGAGAAAATCCCTAAAAAGTGAGAAAATCTGAGACGGTTTGAGAAAATATATAAACTATTGAAAATTTGAATTAAACTTCTAATTTGGAAAAAAGAAATTTGGAAAGAAGAAAATTCAAAAATCGAGATTTAGACTCAGTATCAAATAGAGAACAAAATGTTTCTTCATATGAAGGAAAAAATTTTCTTGAGAAGAAATAGAGTTTTTAAAATTTTATTGTATGTAATGAAATAAACAAATATTAAAATTATTTTTTGATAACAAGAAAGTCTCATCACACTTTTCAATGCTCGATTTTTAAAAACTGTTTAAAAATGGAGCTTATATTGAAATAGTGTAGAGACTAAAAATTACCACAGACTATTTCAGAGGATTGAGTGGCAACTCAATCCTCTGAAATAGTCTGTGGTAATTTGCAAAATTCCCAACAGAAAATATTTGAGACAAAGAAAAAAGAAAATTGAAAAATATTACTCTCCTTTACATTTCATGAGATTTTCAATTTATTTTCATAAAATTGACAATTTTATACGTTTAGATGAAAATAAGTGATTTTGCTTGAAATAAAAATTATTGTTTGCTTACAGCTATCAAATAGATTTTTGCTATTTTGATTAAAATTTGTTAATCAAATTAATAATTTTTTCTAAATATCTTAAATATCTGGATCACTCACTGATACGATGAATTAAACGATAAAAATAATACAAACTCAACTAAGTTTCCTGTCTTTCAACCAAAAAATATTATGCAATTTAAATTAAATAGTTTATTCAAAGATAAAACAAAGATAAAGTAATTATAATTATCATATACTTTATGAATAACTCTCTAATTGGATAAGATTTTCGTACAAATATTTTTATTAATATCGATAAGAATATGTTTACCTACTATCACCATATGTCGATAAACGAGAGTAGAGTGATTTTTATCATCGAAACTTTTAAAAGCTGTAAGCAGGAAGTAATAATCTTGTTTTTTCTGAGTTAGTTGTAGAACTATTGATGCCCGAGTTATCATTGTGATGCAGAAGGATATCAATGTACTGACTGAAGGATATGAATTGAATTGAATTTTATTGAATTTCAATTTGATCAAATTTGTTGAAAATGATATGAATGTGTCAACTTCTGTATCATTCTCCTTCACTCCTTCCTTATTCTTTCGAGAACGAAGCTAGCTCAGCTTTCGCTGAGCGAATTGACACTTTTCATGCCCTAAACGTACATACTCTCAAATTTATCGAAAAAATTAATACCACCTAAACTAGTATATTCTTATTTTAAATATGATATTATCCTTATATTCCACACTAAAATTCATTTAAATCAACTTTTAAAAAAGTTCGAATCCTACGCGTCTCACTTTTTAAATTTTCCAAATGGAAAATTATATTCTCCTAAAGTGAAAACAATTTTCCAAATTGACTTCCTTATATATAGCAATAGAATTTCGTGTAGACTTATAAGAAACCTATTTTCTTAATTTCTTTCCATAATATTCTCTATCGCCAAAAAAACACAGTATAAAAATGTGAAAAATGTCAAATTTTAAACGGTTAGATGATCTCAATATTAATATATTTTCTTATGTACAAAACAATGACCAAAATATTTTTTGAGAACTGACTTAAGAATATTTAATAACCCCCGACAGCTTTCAATTTTAATATTTGTAAAAGTACATCTCAATCAAGAATCATACATTAGGAAGTAATAAAAATTCAAAAACCTTCAATTGAATGCTAATTTACATTCAAAAATTTTATTTTGGCAAAAATGTGATGTTAAAACCGATTATAAATTTATAAAATATGTCCGAAGTCCTCAAAGAGGGCTATCTCCAGAAAGACGGAGGACTTATTAAAACCTGGAAGAAACGTTGGTTTGTACTCAAGGGGAAAATGCTTTTATATTACGAAGAGAAGAACGGCGCATTAAAAGGCGAAATTGAATTAACTTGTGACGCCGTAATTTATGATGATCCACGCTGCAAATATCAGCCAGCAATGGCTCTTAGCTGGCCATCGAAAAAACGTATATACCATCTCGTTGCAACAACTGAACCCGAGAGAAAAGAGTGGACTGAAGTTATTAAAGCAGTTATAAACAATCGTGTCGATCAGTACCTTAATAAAAACAAACAACCAAACAAAGATTTCTTCGCTAAACAACAAATTAATGATGATACACCTAATAACTTAAGAAGCAAAAAATCTAACTCATCAGCAAATCTTAAAATTGCAGAAAGTCTTGGGAATTTCGATTCGGAACCCGAAGAAAAAAATAACGCAAGAAATTTCATTGCACCGGCGCCACCGCCATCTCAAAAACCAGCACCTCCCAAGCTTGATCTAAGTCGTGTAGAGCGTACAGATTCGAGAGGCAGAATTACTGTTGTTAAAAACACAACAAATGAAAATTTGATTGAAAATTTTGTTCCACTTCCACCTATTTCCATTGGAGAACTGTTAGCCGGAACACACTTATCCGAAGCAAGTGTCGGAAGGGCCACTCAGTTCGAACCTCAATTAGATTCACCGAATAACGCGCGTAATCTTGAAATGGATCGTAATAACAGATACAGTAACAGATCTAGTAGCTGCTACTTTCAAAAATCATCATTTAAAGAGTCTCCACTCGCTTATGATAGCGGAAATTCTAGTCTTATTGTAGAAACACTTGACAATAAATTTGATTCACCAATTCTTACTCCCAACAATAATCAGCAAGATAATCGTCCGATTCCTCTACCCAAATCTCCCGAGTATCATTATATCCCGCAGAGATCTCCAGATTTTTCAAAAATCGACAGCTCGGCCCTACCAGCACCCAACAAACTCAATCCGCTTCAAAATTCTTCGATGCCTCCTGCATTTATTTCTCCAACCTCTCCTGCTGAGAATAACAACGAATTAGATCAGCAATCAGTCGGCTTGCCACTTACAAAGTCTTGCTCTTCGCCAGACGTTCTTCGCAAGTTGAATATCTACTCCGAAGAATATATCCAAGAGGAAGAAGCCAGATTACGCCAAGTAGAAGCAGATTTACGTCATATGCAAGAAGAGGAAGACGAGCGCGAAGAACAGAAGCGTATTGACTCTCTTGCCGCCGATGAGAAATTAAAATACGAAGAAGAACAGAGAAGACTCGTCGAAGAAGAGAAGAAGAAGCGAGAAGCCCACGAGAAGAGACTTCAAGCCGAGCAAGAAATCCTCAGGGAAGCCACGAAGAGGCTCGAGGAAGAAGCAAGGCTCAGACAAATCGAAGAAGATCTCAGAAGAATGGCCGAAGAAGACCAAGGCGACTTGAACGGAATTTCCGAAGAAGAGCTCATGAAGAAACTCCAAGAAGAAGAGGAAATCCGCAAGAAGCAATACGAAGAAGCCAGAAGAAGGAGACTTCTTTTGGAAGGAAGAAGAAGGAAATCAGATATTACATCAGCAGATCTCGAGAAAATTCGTATGGAAGAAGAAGAGGAAGAAAAGGAGAAACAAAGGAAGGAAGAAGAAGACGAGAAACAACTTTTACTCCTCAAGAAACAAGAAGAAGAAATTGCTTTGGAAAACTTAAAGAACATCGAAGAACAACAAAGAAAACAGAAAGAAGAAGAAGAAAGGAAACAAAAGGAAGAAGAACAAAGAAAGCAGAAAGAAGAAGAGGAAAGAAAATGGAGAGAAGAAGAATATAGAAAACAAATTGAAGAAGAAAAGAGAAGAGCAACAGAAGAAGCAAGAAAACAAATCGAAGAAGAGAAGAAGAAGATGGAAGAAGAAAAGAGATTAGCTGCAGAAGAAGCAAGAAGACAATTGGAAGAAGAGAAAAGAAAAATAGAAGAAGAAAAACTAAGAGCAGCTGAAGAAGGAAGAAAAGGAATTGAAGAAGCAAGAAGACAAATCGAAGAAGAAAAGAGAAAAATCGAAGAAGAAAGAAAGAGAATTGAAGAAGAAAGAAGAAAAGTTGAAGAAGAAAAGAAACGTGAACTTGAAGAAAGACAAAGAAAACTTGAAGAAGAAAGAAGAATCGAAGAAGAAAGACAAAAGAAGATTGAAGAAGAAAGAAGAATCGAAGAAGAAAGACAAAAGAAGATTGAAGAAGAAAGAAGAATCGAAGAAGAAAGACAAAAGAAGATTGAAGAAGAAAGAAGAATCGAAGAAGAAAGACAAAAGAAGATTGAAGAAGAAAGAAGAATCGAAGAAGAAAGACAAAAGAAAATTGAAGAGGAAGAAAGAAAGAGGAAAGAAGATGAACTTAGAAAACAAATTGAAAATGAAAAGAGAAATGAAATCCCTTCATTTAAAGATACAATGCCATTACAAACTCCTCCTGTTCATCACCTTATTGAAGGAACATTCCAATTCAGTAGCGAGTTAGTTAATGATGAACCAGCTCCTGTTAATCACTTGGAACCAAATTATGAAGGAATTCATCCTGTTTTGAGTTTACCACCATTACCTTCTCAACAATTACCTCCTCCACCATCAGCTCTTCAACCACAACCTCAATTAACAGTAAAAGAAAACAATGAACAACAACAAATTCCGAAGTTAGAATTACCTCCAATTCCTGGCCAACAAAAGGAACAACAAGTGAAATTGGACCTTCCTCCATTAAACACTCCAACACAGCCATACAAATTGGAGTTACCACAGTTACCTCCACAAACATGTCCTGCAGGAACTGGCTTATCTGGAATTCCTCCTTTGAATTTGCAACCAGCTGATCCAAATCCAACAATTCAGTTGAAACCAATTGGGCCACAACCAACAATAATTCCTCTTCAACCTGCACCTGTTTCTCATTCACCATCTCCACCACCATTACCACAACAACAACAAACTGAAGAGAAACAACAGTTGAATCCATCTCCACTTCAATCAGAAAACAACCAAACAATTCCACAACTTGTTATTCCTCCAATTCAACAGAAGCAAAATGTCGAAGAAGACAAACAAAATGCTCCAAAACCAGTAATCATTCCTCCACATCTTCAGGAAGAAAAGCCACAACTTAATCCACCAACTTTAGTTCTAAATCAACCTCCTCTTCCTCAGAAAGAAGAAGAAAAACCACCACTTGCTCCTCCTCAATTAGTTTTGACTCCCCCAGTTCAACAACCTCAACAACCTGGTCTTACTCCTCCACCTCTTCCTTCAGTTCAACAAAACAATCCACAGCCAGTGCTATCTTTACCAACAATGGAAGAAAAGACACAACAACAAGAAGTAATTGAAGAGAAACAAACACCAGAAATAACACCAACATTACAACAGAAGGAAGAAGAGAAACCACAAGTTACAATTCCACCATTAGGAGTTTTACCAACAACTTCTCAATCTGTTCAACAAAATAAGGAAGAAGAGAAACCACAAGTTACAATTCCACCATTAGGAGTTTTACCAACAACTTCTCAATCTGTTCAACAAAATAAGGAAGAAGAAAAACCACAAGTTACAATTCCACCATTAGGAGTTTTACCACAACTTCTCAATCTGTTCAACAAAATAAGGAAGAAGAGAAACCACAAGTTACAATTCCACCATTAGGAGTTTTACCAACAACTTCTCAATCTGTTCAACAAAATAAAGAAGAAGAGAAACCACAAGTTACAATTCCACCATTAGGAGTTTTACCAACAACTTCTCAATCTGTTCAACAAAATAAGGAAGAAGAGAAACCACAAAGTTACAATTCCACCATTAGGAGTTTTACCAACAACTTCTCAATCTGTTCAACAAAATAAGGAAGAAGAGAAACCACAAGTTACAATTCCACCATTAGGAGTTTTACCAACAACTTCTCAATCTGTTCAACAAAATAAGGAAGAAGAGAAACCACAAGTTACAATTCCACCATTAGGAGTTTTACCAACAACTTCTCAATCTGTTCAACAAAATAAGGAAGAAGAGAAACCACAAGTTACAATTCCACCATTAGGAGTTTTACCAACAACTTCTCAATCTGTTCAACAAAATAAGGAAGAAGAGAACCACAAGTTACAATTCCACCATTAGGAGTTTTACCAACAACTTCTCAATCTGTTCAACAAAATAAGGAAGAAGAGAAACCACAAGTTACAATTCCACCATTAGGAGTTTTACCAACAACTTCTCAATCTGTTCAACAAAATAAGGAAGAAGAGAAACCACAAGTTACAATTCCACCATTAGGAGTTTTACCAACAACTTCTCAATCTGTTCAACAAAATAAGGAAGAAGAGAAACCACAAGTTACAATTCCACCATTAGGAGTTTTACCAACAACTTCTCAATCTGTTCAACAAAATAAGGAAGAAGAGAAACCACAAGTTACAATTCCACCATTAGGAGTTTTACCAACAACTTCTCAATCTGTTCAACAAAATAAGGAAGAAGAGAAACCACAAGTTACAATTCCACCATTAGGAGTTTTACCAACAACTTCTCAATCTGTTCAACAAAATAAGGAAGAAGAGAAACCACAGCCAGTTAAACTACCACAATTTGAAAATCCACAGCTTGAACAGATAAGAAGACAACAATACGGACCTTCATCAGCCAAACCAGTTATGCCATTATTCCCCAATTTATCAGCTATTGGTGCTCCAAAGAAAGAAAAGAAGGAAAACAAACCAGCTGATAAACCACAACAACAACAACAACAAAAGAAGTCACCAGCACCACTCATCAGGATCACTCCTCCACAACCACATCCACAACCTCAGCAACCACAACAACCACAGCAACAACCATCTCAACCAATTCTCATCCAACAATCTGCTCCTGGAATTTCCAATCCATTCCAGCAACAAATACAACAGATGCAGATGCAGTTGGAACAAGCACAAGCAAAGCAACAACAACCACAGACACCATCACAGCCAATGGAGGTAGAAGAGCCTCCAAAGACTGTTCCTGCTCCTTCAACACAACAACAACAGCAACAACCGAAATCAATTGCACAAGTCCAAGAAGAAATTATGCGCAGAAACCAGGAGAGGGAAGAACAAAGACAGGGACAGCTCGAACAGATAAAGAAGAGAGAAGAGGAAAGAAGGAAGAGGATAGAACAAGAAGACGCTGAAATGAAGAGAAAGGAAGAACTTTATCTCAAACAACAAGAAGAAAGATTGGCAGCACTTCGCCAGAAACAAGAAGAACAAAAGGTTAAACAACAACAGCAACAACAGCAACAACAAAAACAATTAACTCCTGAAGAACAACAGGCAAAGATGAGAGCTGAACTTGAACAAATGAAGAAGCAACAAGAGCAGCTTTCTCATTGGCACGAAAATCTTCCTCAAAAGACAGAAGAAAACCCTCAAAAAGTTGAAAACAAAGCCCCAGAAAATACTAATCAAAAAGTGACACCAGAAAACACCAATCAAACTGATGTTGAAAAAGTGACACAAGAAACATCTAATCAAGGTGATGTTGAAAAAGTGACACCTCAAGAAGAACAAGCTCCAGAGAACAACTTTGTTTTTGGCGCATTACCTGAGTTTAGAGAAGACATTGTTAATGAACTAGCAGAGGAATCAGATGATGAAGAAAGACAACAAAGATTGCAGTTGAAGTATTTGAGACAAAAGAGCAAAGAAGAATTGATTATTCAAGAACAAGAAGAACAATCAAAACTTATTGAAATCGAAGAACAACTTAAGAATTTGCAAGATGAAACAGACAGAGAACAAAAGATTGCTGATGATTACCACAAAGATGTCGAATACGAGAAGATTCTTCGCGAAGAAGAGAAGAATAAATCTCCACAGAATCAGCAAAAAGCACTTCCATCTCATGAACAAGAGAAACAAGACTGGTCAAGGACATTCGGATCATCAAGATCAATCAGAGAATCAGAGTTCAAGAGGAAGAACGAAGAACTCGAGAGAATGCGTCAAAGAGAAGCAGAAAGACAGAAACTCGCCGAAGAACTTCGAAGAAAACAACAGGAAATATTAAGAAAATTGGCAGAAAACAGGCAGAAACAGAAAGAAATGCCTGATGTCGAAATCGATGACAATGATGAAGAAAAGAACGTGTCATCAACATTTGGTGTAACATTGCGTCATACTGAAACAAATGCAGGAAAGTCTTTGTTATATAACAAGAACGAGATGCAGAGTGGAAATTTGTATCAGGATGATTACGTCATTTCTCCGTTTGGAGTAAAACTGAGAAGAAATACCAATGACAACGAAGATAAGAAGATTAAGACTTCAAAGACTGAACAAGAGTTAACTGTCGAATCTACATTCGGTGTCAAACTGAGACCAAAGTATTAATGTTTTAAGAAGAGGTAAGATATTATTATATTTATTTGTTATATATGAAACGATTTTATGGTAATTACCAAAAATAATCCAAAAAAAAGTTTTTTTTATTATAAAATAATTCTAAACAATTCATTTGTTTTATCATTTTAAAACATTTTTAACTAATCTTATCCTATGAGCCAGAACTATGAGTGGAAGAAAGTCATTGTTCTTTTGATTTTTCAAAAGATAATTTATCTCTGTTTCAAAGAGAATAAATCCCTGTTTTCATGAAATAAATATACTTGATATGGACAATAGTGTTGCATGCTAAGTTCGGTCAACGATAGAAATTGAGTGGAAATTAATCGTCGAGGAAGTACGATTATGTAAAGTCAAAAAATGTTGTGGGATTTTTAATATTATATATTATTTTATAATAAAATTTTTTTGAGTCATTTTAAGAAGCACATATAATTTTTTGAATTTAAAAATTAAAGTAGTGTCAAACGAATTTATCACTTAATTTAATACTCAGATTTCTTAAAATTAATGAAAAAAAGGTTTTCTGAGAACTTTTGAGAATGGTTTTCAAATTCCATTATTGAAAATATATAGGTATTGTATGAAATTCAAACTCTATATTTATTAAAATTCTAAATTTTTAATAAAATAACTTTTCAGAGGAATATGATTTTGAATGGTTGATTAATAAGTATAAAAATGTCTACGATTTTAAGGAGGGAATTGTTCCGTATGAGGTATACATCATAACTATATACCTCATAAGGAACAATTCCCTCTTGATAGCTGGGAAACTTTCTCTGAATAACTTATCATTTGGAGAAAGTTTCCCAGCTATCTATTAGAAACTAAAGGCTGTGAGGCACTAATATATAATCAGTGCCTCATAGCCTTTAGTTTCTTATTAAAAACGAGAAAACTTGTTCGAAATGATAAACAATTTCGAACAAGTTTTCTCGTTTTAAGGAGGGAATTGTTCCTTATGAGGTATACATCATAACTATATACCTCATAAGGAACAATTCCCTCTTGATATCCTGGATATTTTTGAATATATTTTTTTAATTAAAGTTCTCAAAAGTATTATCAAAAGTGATTTTTTAAAAATATCTCCAATTAATTAACTAATTAAAAGTATTATATTTTTAAAATTAAATAGTTTTTCAATTTTTTTGAAGGAATTGAGATACTTCCCACGACAATAAAATTGAGAGGTTTACATTATGACTGATCTTAGCATGCAACAATAGTACCAATAATTTCCCCGAGATTAAAGCAAAAAGTGCCATAATTATTTGATGTCGCATCAGCTAATTAGAGAAGTTAAAGAAAAGACAGAAAAACTTAAATCATTAAAGAAAGATTATAATGCAACCGCTGAAAGAGTCAATAATGAACTTTTAAATTTAGAAAGTAGAAATAATGGTCCAAAAGTTCGTGTATCTCTTCAATTAGCGCAAAAATGCTTAGATATTTTACTAAATCATCCAGAAAATGCAAATTTGGTCATTAATTACTTAAATCAATGTAAGTTTGAAAATATTTCAGACGATTCATCGCCAATTCTTGACGAAGAAGAGGAAGATTATAATATCAAGTATCAGCCCACTGAAAAGAAATCGAATGTTTCGAATTTTACTGATCAAGATACTGAAGAAGAGGATTCATTCCTTTTAAGTGATGTGGAGCTAGAGAATGAAAAGTTTTACAACCAATGGGATGCTCAAAACTAACGAAAAACGTTTAATTCAGTTCAGATTTATCTTTATTTACAATTTGAAGCATCGTATCTATGATCACTAGCATTTTAGTACAGTGATTTTCATTTCCAAAATATTTTTAGTCAGTTCATCCGAAATTTCGATTCATATCAAGCTTTATTTCATGTTCACTAGTATTCTCAGAATATGCATATAAAGTACTCAAGAATGTATGTATTTAAATTGGAATTTCTGCTAATTTTTCAATTTCCAAAATTTTTATTGTAATTTTGCATTTTTAATTGGGTTAAATATTTGGTTTTACACGGAATATTTATATGCTTATTTAGAATCGTTATTAATGTAAAATTATTTTTATTAATGAATAATTTTTAGGAATCTGTCCCTACTACACATAAAATTCCACTTTTTCTGATGACCAAGCACGTAATGCATATTAATGTTGCTTCTATTTCCCAAATTTAGATCAAAAATTTCGGATTTAAAATGTTATGAAAGACTGAAATAGAGGAGCTAGAGATGTTCAACATTGTACCGTATTATAGAAAATTCCAATCTGCAGCAAAGTATACCGCAGGAAATGGAGAAAATGATTTTGCAGATCCCCACTTTTTATCAAAAAATGCTGTTGTCGCAAAAATCCATTGAAATTTGGCTAACAAGACTCCTATCATCATTTGAAAACTAGCAATTTTGAATCCAATCATGTGCCCATTAGAATTTTAATAAGATCAGACCTAGTCATAGTTACAGTCACTTTTTGATCATGCCAAAAAGTTCTCATCAAGAAAACCAATAATCCCAAATCATAATAATGATAAAATCTAATTATTCCAATTATTTTACGTTGATATAATTAACGAACTGATTGAACACAATATTTGAAAAGAATATAAAAATTTGAATTCAATATCATCGTTTGATTGAAGCAAACCCTTCAGGAAATATGTCCGTATATGCACAATAAACATTTTCCTAGAATGAATAATTTTAGGATGGCATTTGGTCAATCATCCGATAAAAATTTAATATATAGATAATATTCATGATAAATTGCAGGGCTCATTTAGATTTGAAAAAATTGAATAGAAGTAAACAATGCTCAAAATCAAATATGGATAACAATTCAGATAATTAAACCCAGATAAAACCTGAAATTAATTATTGAATAGTTGTAAACTGATAGATATAATTAATGCTTGATTCTTTATCCAATATTCTTATCCCACCAAACATTAGTGCCTACCAATATGTGTCCACAGTTCGATCATATCCCACACATATTATTGCCAAGGTGCGCGATATTGACGGAAACGGTTTCCTGTGTTATTTATTTAATCGTGATAGGCTATTTGAATATGGTTTGTTGGACGATACCATAGCCAAAATGGATGCTGTTTCGAAATTAAAGCACTTAAATATTGCAGCTACGATCGAGTTCAGTAACAATGAACTTTTATATCTTATTACAGAAGATTACACGGCTTTAAACCTCAAGGAGTACGTTGCAACAAACGGTCGTCTTAGCGATACCGAAGTTCTAAGGATTTCGAAGTCAATTGCCGATGCTCTTACCATCATGCACATGCAGCACGTAGCCCACGGGGGCCTTGATTCCAGAGCCATTTGCTTTGACTTTTCCATGATTCCAAAGCTCTCCTATTTTGATTTTGCTTGCGATATAAATATCAGGAAAATTGAAAAAGTCGAAGTTAATATTATGAATTACTTCCCTCCAGAATTTCTGCAATTTAATTCTAATAATCAATTTACGAAAGATGCCTGGTGTCTGGGCATTATTACGTATTTTATGATATGTGCTCAGTATCCTTTCATCAGCGCCAACCAAATCAAGCTGGTAAACATCATCATCAAATGCCAATACATGCTACCCCCTACAACACATCCTACTATTCACGCCCTTATTGCCAAAACATTGGTTCAAGATCCATCGCAACGAGCAAACGCGCGCTACATCTCAATGATGCTCCGCTCAGTTGAAGCGGCACCACAGCGTCAGAAAATTTTGAGAAAATTTGCCCAATCTCAAACATTGGGCAGACCACGCCCTCCTACACAAATCTGCATCGAAGAAGTCGCTAGATGCGGACAAATATCCTTCAGACGAGTGTCTGTGGACTCGGCAGCCCAGGCTCCGTCTCTTCCAAGAACAAGACTACAGCCATGCTCTTATACAAACGCTGTTAGAAGCTCTATTTTGTAATGTAATTAATACGATTAACTTTTCTTTATCTTTTTTTTGTTTATAAGTTTATATCATCATGTCGAAATGATAAAACGTTTTTATTTATATTATTTTGGAATTATTTTGATTTGATTCTTCTATTTCTTATGTCAATAATATCATGACAACAAATTTGATTAAAAATTAATTCTTTTGTTTAGAAGCATTTTCATGATCAACAAATGCTTGGTCAATTAAGTTCAATTCATTTAAGTGCATAATTTCAAATATCAAAATAAAACATTATAGTTCTCAGTAAATTACTTACTTAGAATGCAAATCAATTCTTTGCTCAATGCATTAAACATTTCAGATAATGGAGTTAATAATCATTCATTTCGATTTCATTTGCATTTTGGGTAGGGCATTAATACTTTCATTTTTAACAATCTCTATTGCCGCATTTTGCTATCAAATTACATTCAAATGTTAATTTCTCTTCTCGAATGGATAATTAAAACCCATTTTCCATAGATTTCATCATATTTCAAACATGTTTATAATGCATATTATATACTTTAAAGTTAAAATAATATTGATTGATTAAATTTCAAATTTGCCAACGGATCTATGCTTTATCTAAAAAAAGATAATCTAGTATAAGACTAGCGATATTACTTCTCATATTAACATTATTTAATTCATACACAAACCTGTTATTCGTTTTTTTTTATAATTACCCAGATTTGCTTTACTTTTACCACTCCCCATGTAATTTCTGGGGAAAACGATAATTCATTTTTTTTATGGATGAATAGATCGTTTTCCTAGAAAGGACCTCATATCTCTGGCTAAAAAGAGTGTCAGATCCTAAATAGATTATTGATCTAGTGTACAAATCCAATAAAAAGCCTATTTTTTTGGCTTTTTTGGTGCTCATTTTTTCGAAGATCTACATGAATATGGGGAAACCATCGGATTTTTTTGGTTAACCCACATCTTCATGTAGTCTGGACTATCTTTCCTCGAAGGACCTCTTTACGGGTGTAAAAACTCATAAAGTTCTCAAAAGATTCATTCTCGATCTCCATGCTGAAAGAATTTACAATAAAAAAGAGATCTACGCATCAAACTACAGCCATAAATGAACTGAACCCCTAAAGCTCAGCTCTTAGTTTATCAAAAACGTCGAAATCCTTCTCATTGCAATCAAATTTTCTCAATAACTCATAAGAAAAATCGAATTTTGATTAAGCCGATGTTATAGGTATCACAAATACTACAAACTTGAGCAATATCGAAATTGCCAGCAAAAGTTTGAAATTGCATTGCTCATATTTGTTTTGTAAACTAAAAATCTGCTTATATTATTCATTAATTTTTTATATATTATTCATATACTTTAATAAAAACAATACTATTTCACCTTAAAAATGAATTTCATAAGTCAATATTATTTTTTTGAAAATGTATCAATTTTCGATTAAAACAACATGAGAATAAAATTTACGCAAAATTATTTTAAAAAATGGTTTTAAAAATTTACAATTGATTAAGAATAAGATTGTAAGAAGTTTTGAAGTTTAATTTTAAGAATAGGGTTGTTAAAAACATCAAAAATTAGCGTTTTGAAGACACCATGGTGTCTTATAATTTTCCCTTCCTTATTGGCGTGTAGAAATAAATGCGCCAATAGATTGAAGAAGAAGAATTGTTTTTCTCTTAATGAACTTTAATCCTTTTGATATAAGAATATTAAAAACATTAATATAATTTCGATTTCGGAAATTAAATTTCCAAATTTTTTGTCGATTTCGGAAATAACAGGATCCCGCATCCAACAGGCAACAACAAAACACAAAACACACTTTTTGGTTCTTTCATCGTTTTAATCGTAATTTATGTAATACATGATTTGGATAAGTTTTACAAAAATAGAACCTATATTATATTCTTTTCAAAGATTCTTGCAAATCATCAAAAATAATTGTATTTTAAAAAACAATCAAATTATCCTTTCATTATTTTAAACTTAAATTAGTTTTTATGATTGACTAAAGCAATCATATTTATTCATCATTAAATAAACAAAAAAATAATATTTGAGAGTTATTTCAAAAAAAAACACATTGAATTTATTAATTTGTCTCAATTTCAGTATTATAAATTTTATAATTTCAATATTTTGAAATACACTTTTTAAATTTCAATATTATGATATTTCAATGTATTAAGTGGTCTCAAATTGAGCTTCTCAAATATAAGTTGGCCTATTCAAATAAAATTAAATAATATTTAAAATAATAAATAAAAGTGATTGAGGTCATAGCAAAACGGCTGTTTCAGTCATTAATTCTTAAAAATAAAAAGGGTAAAAACTTAATAAAATGGGTAAAATTCAATATGTCTGTGCTATCGTTCAATTTGAAGGTGTCTTTTGAAACCGCAAGACACATTGAATTTTTGAATAGTGTATTACGGTTTGACAGACACCAATGAAAAAAATAAAATGATATTTATTTTAAATATATAAGATCCTTATATAAAATATAAATATTTTATCGTTTTATTTTCTTGTTTTAGAAATGTTTTTTATTGAAAAATCAATAAAACTAACTCCAAAATAAAATTTTTGATTTAAAGACACTATGATGACACCAGGCAAATCTTCCAAGACACCTATCGTCGGGAATCTAATAACCCTATTTAAGAAAAAAAATTCGGATATTATTCATGGATCTAAGTAATCTGATATTTGAGTATCGGCACTATGCATAAAACATATATTTATAGTTTTTTTGGATTTTTATGATTTTAAATATATTCAAATTTGGCAATCCAATAGATTTTTAAAAAATAGGTAAATAAAAATAGATTACATATGCAGCAAATTTAGAACATGAAACAAATCTTATAGTGACCCAAAAAAAAATTCATGATCCAAAAAAGAAAAAAATTGGCTAAATGGGAATCAAACCTTGGCATAATGAATCATTATATCGGATGTTTCCACTACACCAGCAGTTCGAAAAATACCCTTGGTGGTTCTATTTAATAGCTACTCCCAACGATAGGCGGTGTCCCCAGCTTTAGAGAGGTGGTAAAAGTAAAGCAAATCTGGGTATTTGAATGACTATTCAAAATCAACAAGAAATTTTTATCTAATATATTCATCGAATGTTAATATTTTGATATTTTTTATGGAAAAAAATTAACTAACGTATTGACTCAAAATAAATATATTCGAATTCTCTGAGCAAAATTCTCAAACGCTCATGCTTTCTCTGTTTTTTCCGAATAACGCCGATATTTTCAAATTTTTTGCCCAATTAACGTTGATGAATATTTATCTATTTAATTTTGATCACCAAATGACAACCTTTATTTCCTGAATGATAGCAGTCAAAGATTTAAAATTGAAATAATTGAGCTCAAAGAAAATAATTATCTGATAATTAGATTTTGTATCAACTTTATTCAATTCTTGCTTAATCAAAATTTTTAGGATTTCTTTCAAAAGTATAAAACATTTTCGATAATCCTCTGAAATTTTGAATGATTAAAAAAATCTAATTTAAAAAGAACATTCACCATCCAATTAATCCATTTTTGTTTTTTAATATTCTATTTGGTCTGAAAAATCTTACATAATTCAGAAACAGGACTCAATGATCATCACCACTATCCTGCAACTTGAATCCAAAGCATCCATAAAGCCAATAAATCAAACTACAAGACATTTTGATAATATCAGAAACTTTTCAGATATTTTTAGCGCCATGAGAGAATATTATGATAACTCCACAAATTTAACGCAAGATGGCTTCATTTCTGCTTGGGCTTCCAGTCTTAGTACCTATAATGAAGCAAATAAACTCACAGTTGATTGCATTGCAAGAGATCCATATCAATTTTACAACGAAAGATTTGTTTCTGATACAGTAAATGATACGAGTTCAACTGCTATTATTGACTTTCTAACTACTAAAGTTTCTTTGGAAAATTATACTCTCATCTATATTAATAGAGTAAGATGGATGGCAATATATGAAATATGGGGAGAAGGAGATCATGCACAATGGGATTTAATTGATAGACGAAATATCTATCAAAACCCCAATCCGTTTAGGCCTCCCTATGGAGATACATGGACAATCGATAAGACACTGTGCAATAATACTGAAAAAGGGGTTCAAAAAGATTGTACTTATTATGCATATACATTCCCAACGATGAATCAGAAACCGTACTCTCGTTTCAAAATAATTAATACAGGAAGGAATAAGGGAGATGGTGTCGGTGATAAGTTTGGATGGGCAGACTTATCCATATCAAAACTTCTCTTATATGGTACAATAATTCCTGGAAGGGGTGCCTTTTCACCCTTAAGGCTGAAGAGAAAAGAACAAATGCTATTTAATTTTGCTATGTTTTCAAGTTTATAAATGTATTTTTTTAAAAGAATACTACTTTTTGGATTTTACATAGGGTGCAAAAAATGCGCAAAAACGATTATTTAATATTGAATTTGCATATTTTTTGCGTATTTGAAAAATTTTTGAGTTGACCATTATTAAAAATCAAATCCATTAATAAAGAATAATAACAGTTGCATATGCAAAAAATATAAAAGAAAAAAATACATTCATTTTTGACTACTTTACACGGATTGATTTTAAAATGCACAAATAATGCACAGATTGAATGTAGAATAATCGCTTTTGCGCATTTTTTGCACTTGTAGGAAAACATCTACTTTTTGATACACTCTCATAATGTCAATATATCCTTATTTTAATAGTGAATCATTTAACAGCCATTGAGAGAAAGCGTCAAAAAATTGAGAGAGGGTCAGAAAGTAGGATGGGAACTCTACTTTCTTGATTAAAGAGGTCAGTTAAATACCCTCACATTGAGATCCTACGAGCTTTGTTTTTATGTCTATAAGTATTAAAATATAGAAACTCCATCAAACATATAAATAAGCCCGAAAGAGTATCAAATAATCATCCTTCCTCCGCTCAAAAAGTGACCAATATTTTATGAAGATTTCTATTCAAGTAAAGAAGACATACAAAATATGGAATTATATGGTTCGATTAAACAATATCATTTTATATTAAAATATATTTTTTTTAAAGAAGTTAACAAAATAAAAAATAAAAATATCAAATTAATTTCAACTGCATAACACTGACAGAATTCTTTGCATCTTCATTATCTGCTAGTGTATCTTCTTGGACGTGTAAAATTCCAAATTCACCATTAACAATTGTATCAAGAGCTTTTTCAGCTGTTGGGCCACAGAGGACAGGAATAGCCTTTCCTACTAAAGGAACAATCGAAACAACACCTTTAACAATAACAGAAATAACAGACTTCGGATCTTGAACGATATCTGACACTTTTTCAGAAAATTCAATTAATTTCTTGATATCACTTTCTTGTCTTGCGATTGCAATGTAACTTGTTATAGTTATAGATATTCTTATTATTCCATATTCTTGTTCCAGCTGGGATATTGTCTTGAAATCATTTTCCTGTATCTGTTTCTGGAATCTATGTCTCAAAACATAGAAAACTCCACGATGAGGAATATCAATTCCATTCAATGTGAGTCTTTCGAGTAATTTCGAGTATTTCGCTTCTGCTTCAACTAAATCTGTAATATCCTTGAAAATAACAATTTCATGGTTCTTCCCACACTTGAATTTCTGCACATCCATTGTAACTTTCTTACCTTCTTTGTTAGTAACAGTAATTTTATTTCCAATTTCTCCGAAGAAGTTTTCAAGATTATTTCCAATGATTTGAGCTCTCGAATGCGGCGTAAATGACAAAATCTTTGAGTTACAAGCGACAATAGCACCATTATTTCTTCTAACAACAGTCGGGAATGGAAAATCATCGACATAATTCGGTTCTCTATTTTCCAAAATATCAATAACATTCTTTAATCGATCATTATCATCGAAAGCAGTACATCTTATCAAAATATTCGCAGCTCTCATCCAACCTTTGTTCCAGCTAATAAATCTCAACATCAACACCATTGCCAATGAAAGTAAAACAATACAAACAACAGTAGACCACCAAAACTTCGATGGTGCGCATTCAATTTCTGTCCATAAATTAGAAATCATTTTCGGAATAACTTGTTTTTGTATTACACTTAATTCATGCATTGCTAAATGTCTTGCGTATAAAAATGGATAAGAATCAGGCTCTGTTATATTAGAAATAATTACTTGTGCGAATTCTCTTATCTTCGCAAACAACCAGTCTTTTTCATCATTGTCATCGAAGACAGGAACTTGTCCATATTCATGAGCGAGTTCAACAACTTTTTCAGTGAAAAATGACATGTTTTTCGATGATTGATGAATAATATCCATATAAATAGATTTTGCGTAATCATCTGTTGTTTCTTTCGAAGAATAAAACATCAACAAAGCCAAAGCTTCTTGATACAAATATCCAATTCTTCCCATCAAAACAACCTGTTGAACTTTTGCAGATAATGTCTTTTCAGACATTTCTAAATAAACGAAATAACATCTCGTAACATACAACAAAATGAAAGAAACACTTAAAACATAAGTTAAAGGAAAAGCAACTCTTACAGGCATAGAATCTGCGTATTCGCATCTATGCTCATTAAATATTGTTGCTCTTCTAACAGCTTCTAAAACAACATTCTTATATCTCCAAAAATTAAACATGACAATTGCCCAAACAATCATAAAGAATAAAATAATAGAAATCATAACAATAAATGTCATTTTTTCATTTGATTTGAAATCTTCATATCTTTTCAAACCAATTGTATCTAAATAAGGAAATACACGATGAATGTTTTCATTCATTGTCACTGTATGACATAATTTCGTGTCTTGATCTGATTCCCTTATATCTGCTTCATGCATTGACAAAATGAAAGAAACTTTGCGGCAATTAGGAATTTCTATGTTGAAATGCAATGAATTATGTTCTAAATTCTTCAACCATTTAGTAAGTGATGGAATGGAATTTGGTCTTGGGAATTTCGACCTTAAATCTCCAGCATCACTTTCAGAAAAAGCTAAAACTTCAATGATACGAGCAACAGACGGCTGAGTAAATAAAGAATCAGCAGCATTCAAGAAATTAGCAGTTAATGTATTAGTAGTATTAATTAAATCAAAAGCAGTACCTGTATCAGTACAAACTCTTTCGAAATAATTGTTGGAAACACCAGCAAACATCAAAACAATTATAAATGACAAAATAAAGATAGAAAGAGTGGCAATTAATAATGGTTTCAATGCCCTATATAATTTCCCATTCAAATACTTGTCAACAGGTGAATCTTCATCAACATTTTCCACCAATTTACTGTCAGGATTAAGAAAACTAAAAATTGTTCCTGCTGGTTCTCTTAATAATGTCAATGTAGTCATGGGAGTGCGTTGGGATTTGACAGGATCTTTAAGGGTGTTGTTGTAATAGTCTTCTCCTATCATTTTGATCTGTTTAGACTTCGGATAACGTAATAATGCAATTGAAATTTCGGAATTCGTTTCTCCGATGAGATCCCACATGTCTTTGATAGTTCTGTGGTCATCATCAAGGTCTATCCAGAATTTCTTCATCGCATCTGATACTTTTTCAGTGGATTTTCTAAGATGATCTGCCAAAGCTTGAACTGATGGTTCTGAGTCATCTTCGAAGGTATGCTGGAAGATACTCACTTGGTAGGCAAGGAAATATAAGGAAGATCTGGCGTTTGGAGTAATTATTGGAGCCTTGATTTGGATTTCGTCCAAATTTATGCCTTTGACAAGACATATACGCGTAATATCGACTAGTAATTGCATCGATGATCGGGTTTGAGCTATATCGTTGAGGTAAGAGATATCTGCGATTTCTGGACAAGCGTGAATGCAAGCGTACCTTACTTTGGCAACTGCAGATGCATCTGTAGGAGTATTCTTGATATCAAATACCGATGCGGAGCCATCTCTGCCGTTCGTGTGGTAAAAGTTAATAAATGCGACGGAGAAACATAATGAAAGGAAGTAAAGAAGGAATCCAACTGGTATAAGAACGAATGATCCCCTTCCGAAGAATAAAGAGACAATCGAGAAAATTCCGTAAAGAATATAGTCGATTTTCAGCTTAATATGAAGAATTTCTCCGAAATTCGATGTATATGTCTGGGCTCCTGAGTAGTAGAGCTTGTAGCAGCCGTAAAAGAACATCATAACCAAAACTACAATCGCGTATTTTCCAAATTGAGTGGATAAAAATGGATGGCAAGCAGCTATCAAGAAAGTAATGATGACATCGATGAAATCATACGGTTGAGTGAACGTTCCAAAGTATCCTTTTTTGATGGGAAGTTGATAACAAGTGGTTGAACGCCAAATTACGGTACCAAAGATGTAGAAAACGAATACTATGCCATTGAAGATCCAAGCAAGAGGCTCTGCCTTAGAAAAAGACTCGTCTGCGATGGTTGTTAATGCGATAGCTCCAAAAAGATAGCCTTGTATTGGCGTTAAGAGCAATGGAACGTATTCTAAAACAGCGTATGCGACAGTGGCAAGACTGGTCTTCATTTTAGACTCTGAAGCAAAATTTAGATAAATATACGTCGGAATGCATAAAAGAAGCATCGATATTAAACTTATTATAACAGTTGTGTATCTGATGATGATTTTCTGTGAATAGTGCGCTATATCGTTTTCAGGTAAGAACGCAGGTGGAATTAGATGTTTAAAGAAATGAGCGGGATAGCAAGTGGTTACCGTGAAAATATCCATGAAAAAGAAGATAATGAAGTTAAAGAAGAAGTCTAATTTCTCACTAACGCGGTTTCTTGTGATTAATTCGTTGCAAAAAATGAAAGATTTTTGATAAAAATCGTATTTTGTGGTTTGACTGATTCCAGAGAGTACATATTCATAGAATGATTTAAGTGTTTCTCTATCATGATGAGGGGAGTTTTCCCCCATGTTACAAACATGTCACTTTTTATTGTAAAGCAATCTTATCGTAAATAGCGGTGTGAAGCACCGATCAATAACATGTCTTACAATTATTTTGGAATTAAATGAGTGCATTAAAACATATTGATGATGAAAAGTTTATAAGTACAGGAAAATCAATAAAATATTGCATATGGAAGGAAATATTTAGAAACAAATAACATATTATCTTGCAAGCAGTTCAAATTCCATTTGCAATTTGATATATAATCAAATCAATCGGAAATTTTCAGTTCATTTTTCTAAATCATTTGAGTCGGCAAACCCAAATTTTAGCTAAAAGTGACAGGGGAAAAAAACGTTTAGTATTAAAAAAAAGACCGATGAGAGCTTCGTTCGAAATATAGAGGGAACTGAGAATGCGCAACCATTCTCAGGGAATATTGGATGCTATTCCCGTTCCCTCTGTATGGAAAATTGAGGTTTTCAAAGGGAGTTAAAATAATATCAAATTTATACTAATTTACTTCAAAATACAAAAGTATTTGACAGCTAAAATTAGTTACTTTAGCAAGCCTATCAATACCCTTTTACGATTATTGCTACTTTTTCGAAATAAAAGTAAAAACAAATTTATACTAATTTACTTCAAAATACAAAAGTATTTGACAGCTAAAATTAGTTACTTTAGCAAGCCTATCAATACCCCTTTACGATTATTGCTACTTTTTCGAAATAAAAGTAAAAACAAATTTATACTAATTTACTTCAAAATACAAAAGTATTTGACAGCTAAAATTAGTTACTTTAGCAAGCCTATCAATACCCTTTTACGATTATTGCTACTTTTTCGAAATAAAATAAATTTATTATCAAAAACCTTTTTTTTTCTTAGTAAAAATAAACGAAATTTTTTACCTTATGAACTTTTGATGGAAATATGCAAATTTAAAATAATAAAGAAAGCCGCGAGCGAAGCGATCGGCTTAGTTCGAAGATTTTGATTCAAATCTTTGCTGATCTGTAATTCGCGGAAGCCGCGAGCGAATCGAGCGGCTTAGGTCTAAGATTTTGATTCAAATCTTTGCTTATATTCCTTAAATTCTTTATGAAACTCGCAACAGTTCCATAAAAAATTTTAAATTCTAAACTGTCGAAATTACCGATCGGTAATCACACCCTTCACGGGTGTGTCACTTTTTACAGGTATGTCACTTTTAGCTAAAATTACCCCTACTCGAAAAGTAAAGACAATGACAGTAAATATGCCATATATTCTCCACCGAATAGCCAATCAGATAAGTCAAAGTCAAACGATCAACCAAAATCAAAAGACGAAAACATAGATAAATCACGTAAAAATGAAGACTCACTTCCACATTATTCAAATGAGCGTAAACAATCTAGTCAAAACAGGAAAGATTACGATAAATTTGCTCCATGGACTCCAAATAAAGATTTACAAAATGAACAACAGCAAAAAAATACACAGAAGCCCAAACAAAATGATGAAAAACAGTATTACTCAAAGCCAAAGAATGTATATGAAGATCAATCAAAGCCAAAAGAAGATTCCAAATATCAATCAAAGCCAAAAGATGAAAACAAAGATCAATCAAAGCCAAAAGAAGATTCTAAAGATCAATCAAAGGAAAAAGATGAAAACAAATATCAATCAAAGCCAAAAGATGAAAACAAACATCAATCAAAGCCAAAAGACGAAAACAAATATCAATCAAAGCCAAAAGATGAAAACAAACATCAATCAAAGCCAAAAGATGAAAACAAACATCAATCAAAGCCAAAAGACGAAAACAAATATCAATCAAAGCCAAAAGATGAAAACAAACATCAATCAAAGCCAAAAGACGAAAACAAATATCAATCAAAGCCAAAAGATGAAAACAAATATCAATCAAAGCCAAAAGACGAAAACAAACATCAATCAAAGCCAAAAGATGAAAACAAACATCAATCAAAGCCAAAAGACGAAAACAAATATCAATCAAAGCCAAAAGATGAAAACAAATATCAATCAAAGCCAAAAGACGAAAACAAACATCAATCAAAGCCAAAAGATGAAAACAAACATCAATCAAAGCCAAAAGATGAAAACAAACATCAATCAAAGCCAAAAGAAGATTCCAGAGATCAACCAAATTTAAAGGATCATTCAATTGAGCGTAAACAATCTAGTCAAAACAGGAAAGATTACAATCCATTTGCTGAATGGACTCCAAATAAAGATTTACAAAATGAACAACAACAAAATGCACAAAAACCAAGTTATCAAAATACAGACAAACAAAATGATGAAAAACAACATGATTCAAAGCCAAAGAATTTTAACAAAGATAAACCATGGAAAAATAAAGACAAAGACAAATCAATATCGAAAGATAAATATAAAGATATGCAAAATGGCAAATATGAATCAGACTACAAAGATAAAGATAAAGAAAATAAACAAAATCAAAAGAAGAATGCGAAAGATAAAAATGGAATTGACATTAAGATAATTAGAAAATCCTGCTATTACTTGTTCGAGTCATTTGATCCTTCTATTACTGATGAAGAGCTATTGCGTTCTGAAGAATACGCAATTAAATTCCCTGACCACGAACCACAAGGCGAAATAACTATTTTTAATACAATAAGTTCTATTCTTGCTGATTATTTGATCGAATGTTTTTCCATTAAACGAAAATCACCAAATACAACTCATAAAGTTCCAAAACTTAGCTCTGTTATGATGCCTCTTCTTCCTCCTCCTTCAATTATCCCTGTCCAATTCAAGTATGTTGATGAAGATAATGTTGAAGCATCTATTTTCAAGACAAAACAAACATCTATTAAAGAGTGCAAGATGTTACTAGAAAAAGCAATTTTCAGACTCAAAGTTGATTTTATTTTGTATTCTTACGAACTCTTGGAAATTAAAAGCAATAGTATTAATTATTCAACTTATTCAGAGATACTCAAACAGTTCAATGGTTTAATTTTACTAGCAGCAACATCCAATAAAAATGAAACAATGTCAATCTGTGTTTATATTTTGATGTTGAATGACAATAAAGTTGACGAAAAAACCGAAAAACTTAGAGATATTTTCCAAGAATACTTCAATAAGAATAAGTTAATTAGATGCATGTATTGTAACTCGTCTTATATGGAAGGAGATGATTCAAAATGCATTGAATACTACCATCCAGGAAAAAGGATTCCTTTAGAATCAGGTCTGATGGAGAAAGAAATTGATATAGATGGAGAAACAAAGTTAATGGTTAATTTCACTTGCTGTGGTAATCATTATTTGGATGAACCAGGTTGTCAACAAAAACTCAGACCAAATCATGTTGAAGATTATGAAATTTCAGAACTTATTATCGAGAACGAAATTTTCTAATTTGATGATTCAATCTTTTAATGTTTTTTTCTAATTTTTAATTGCCTTTTTAAAAGCCTTTTTTTATTTTTTAAATTATAATTATCTGATTTCTTAATTTAACTAAAAAGATGTGTTTTAATGATCCTAATTAGGTCAAAAAGTTCCTAATATAAAAACTTATACTTAAAACAAAATCAAAATCCGAAATTATCTATTTTTTCAAAACACGGTTCCCAAAGGAAAAAAAAGTATAAGCATATTAATGAGTAACAATGTAAGATTTAAGCATGTTAATCGGTATAAATCTTGGAAGGAATGTGGAAATGCATCACATTATAACAAACAGTTAAAATCTGTCATAATATCGGTGATTGAGTTATACTATGAAAAATAATTTATGAATCTTTGACCCTCTCAGCGTGTTTGGATGCAACCACACATCTAAATTCAAATCTGCGAATTTTTAGTCTAAAGAACGCAATTAGGCCATATGTATGATTTCAAAGATTAATGTTTAATCAAAAATATAAATGTAAAGTTTCTGACAGTTACCATAATAAGCTATAATGAAAGGGGGTAATTTCATTGTAAAGTTTAGAAAGTTTTTGACAATGTATACTTTCTGACAGACAGACCCCTGAAATGGCGGTTTTTAATTTCCGCACTTTTTTTGTCAACCTTACTTTTTTGCAATTTTTAGCTGATTTGAAATGATAGTATAAGGATGTCAATTCGGAAAATTGTTTTCATTTTAGGAGAATATAATTTTCCTTTTCGAAAATTTAAAAAGTGAGACGCGCAGGATTCGAACTTTTTTAAAAGTTGATTTAAATATATTCTAGTGTGGATTCTAAGGATAATATCATATTTAAAATAAGAATATACTAGTTTAGGTGGTATAATTTTTTTCGATAAATTTGAGAGCATGTACGTTTAGGGCATCAAAAGTGTCAATTCGCTCAGCGAAAGCTGAGCTAGCTTCGTTCTCGAAAGAATAAGGAAGGAGTGAAAGAGAGTGATACAGATGTTGACACATTCATATCATTTCAACAAATTTTGATCAAATTGAAATTCAATGAAATTCAATTCACTTCATATCCTTCAGTCAGTACATTGACATCCTTCTACATCACAATGATAACTCGTGCATCAATAGTTCTACAACTAACTCAGAAAAACAAGATTTTTCCTTCCAGCTTACAGCTTTTAAAAAGTTTCGATGATAAAATCACTCTACTCTTGTTTATCGATATGTTGTGATAGTAGGTAAACGTATTCTTATCGATATTAATAAAAATATTTTTACGAAAATCTGAACCAATTACAGAGTTATTCATAAAGTTTATGATAACTGTAAATACTTCATCTTTGTTTTATATTTGAATAAACAATTTAATTTAATTTGCATAATTTTTTTTAGTTGAAAGACAGGAAACTTAGTTGAGTTTGTATTATTTTTATCGTTCAATTCATTGTATATGTGAGTGATCCAGATATTTAAGATATTTAGAAAAAATTTATTAATTTGATTAACAAATTTAATCAAAATAGCAAAAATTTTGATAGCTGTAAGCAAATAATAATTTCTATTTCAACCAAAATCACTTATTTTCATCTAAACGTATAAAATTGTCAATTTTATGAGAATAAATTTAAAATCTCATGAAATATAAAGGAGAGTAATATTTTTCAATTTTCTTTTTTTCTTTCTCTCAAATATTTTCTATTGGGAATTTTCTTGTTATCAAAAAATAATTTTAATATTTGTTTATTTCATTACATACAATAAAATTTTAAAAACTCTATTTCTTCACAAGAAAATTTTTTTCCTTCATATGAAGAAACATTTTGTTCTCCATTTGATGCTGAGTCTAAATCTCGATTTTTGAATTTTCTTCTTTCCAAATTTCTTTTTTCCAAATTAGAAGTTTAATTCAAATTTTCAATAGTTTATATATTTTCTCAAACCGTCTCAGATTTTCTCACTTTTTAGGGATTTTCTCTCAAAATATACAAAAATAGTAATACCAATACATGTGTCTAATATACTTTAAAACCATCGTGATAAAATTCAAAAACGAAGAGTTCTTCTCTCCAAATTTTTTTCAAAATCAAAAAAATGAGATAAAAAAATACGTTTGGAAAATTCATTTTTAGCATTTTAGGATTTTTCTCACTTTTCTTCCAAATTGACATCCTTAGATAGTATATATTATTATCTTATTTAAAGATATATTTCATTGTTGCACTCACATAATATTAATCAGAACGCTAGAAAAAGTGAATTTTGTAAAAAGATGATAACGATTATTTGCAAATCGCCTCTCAATTTTCAGAGGCTTAATATATCAGGCTAAAAAAAGCATCAGTTTGATTGATAAAGATGTTGAATAGAATTGTGCATGACTAAAGAATGGATTCTCATATGTTGGAGTTGAAAAAATGCTTTACCCAAAGTTCTTGTCTATCGCATTTTTACTCTTATAATTCAATAGAGAGATCAGAAATATCAAATGTCAGTTTTATGTCAGATATATTTAATGATTATATATACAATAAGTAAAATAGAAGTGCAATCAAATGCGTTTCAAAGAGACAACAAAAATGATTTTATGAAATTCAGAATCATTCGATTGTTTATTAGTTTCTGATTTTATTTGTGCAAGTACGATTCAAATATAAATTGAATAATTATTGAAAATCGATAATTTTGAGATTCTGAAATTTTATTAAATGATTTTGCTACTTTTATCACTCAAACACCCTTTTTGAAGAATGGATTCACAAAAGATGGTCGTAGAATAGTAGAAGAGCCTACATTTCCCGAATACGAATCAAATACAACACGTCAAACTCTCGATGATGAATGGAAAAATATAAGAATTAAGTGGACTTTTGAGTATTTAACGGGAGAAGAACGTAGTTATTATTCATGCTATGAAGAAGGACAAGTAATTTCTCTTGATTATGATCACACATGCCAAAAAGATGAGCTGGTTCAAAATTTTAACTATACGATATTTAATAAGACTCTAAAAAACTTACAAAATTTTATGGAAAGCTTCATCCAAATAATACCAGACAAAGATAGAGACTCTGATCTTGAAATCTCGGTAATGATAAGTTATTTTTCCCTTTTTTCCAATATCATGGCGCAAGCAGGTTTTAGTGGACTAAATTCATTAAAAAGACCAAATTCAGGATTTTTGATAATAAATTATCCTTATTATAGAAACAGTATGGGGGGTATTGAATCACAATTTGGAACAAAAGAAGCCTTTACTGTTAATCTTCTATTTCACGAATTGATGCATACTTTAGTACAAGTATATACATCAACCTTCCATCCTTACAATTCAACTGAGTATTACTCAGAAAACCAAACATTCTGCTCAATGACTAAATATGGAAAGAAGTTTAAGTTCCTAATTACCCCATATGCTCATATTTTTGCCCTGAAGCATTATGGCGTTGAAGTTTTTGAAGGTGATGATAATAATTGCACATCAGGTATCGAAATCGAGCTTAGTGGCGGTTCAGGAACTTCTGGTTCACATGTAGATTTTCGTCCATTCTTCACAGAGCCTATTATTGGAACTGATCCTGAGCGAAGAGGCATGGATTTTAATCGAATTACAGATGTTTCGATGGCAATTCTTCATGATACAGGAAATTATAAGTGCAATTGGTCAGTTGCCAAGCCTCTTGTTTGGGGAAACCCCGAATCTCAAATCGGAGGTAAGTTTATTAAAGATTTTGCAACAGGACCTCCTCAGCTAGTTTTTCCTAAAGGATATCTGCTTGGATCCGATGATAACTATTTTTATACTGGGTTTGATTTTAAATACATTGGTAGTGGGTACCAAACAATGAAAGGCAATGACTGTCAAAACAAAGACACTGAGTTTTGCAAAGGTGTGAAATTCTTTAACCCGTTGAACATGACATATGTAGGACTTTTAAGTATTTTGGATTATCAACATTTCAAAGGTCCGGATGTAACATGTCCAAAAGGAAAAGCAGTTCTACCAGGTTACACGTTTTATAGATTCTATGAAACAGATTGCGGTTACTTCAAATGCAATAAATATGACAACTTCACATTTTACATTGAAAACACAACCTACATAGATGATATGCCACTTAATATCACGTGCAATAAGACAAATGTAGGGCAACAATTCAATTATACAGTTAATTCTGATCCACAAAAGTATGGCGCATGGGGGACTTTTAAACGCACAGCATACTGCCCAGATCCTGAATTATTCTGCAGGACAGTCACATTGCACGAAATGAATTTCGTTCGCGATCCATTCGATCTTGATTCAAAGCAGCTCGATGATCCATATGCTAAGTCCAGAGAGCAAATTACCCTTGAGTTAACATTATCAGGAATTGTGGCATCAGTTACCTTTATCGTTAATTGCGTGATTATTGGATTTATCATATTTTATAAAGTTCGTGAACGAAAAGGTTCCAAAGGAAAATCTTCATCAGAAAGCATAGAAGAAGATTCAGTACCAGCTCAAGATCATGAACAACCTGACCAAAATTATTTATCTGATTAATGTTAAATCACTAATTCTTTTACCTTCATCCTAAACTTCTAAAAATTCACTTAAATGTTTAAGTTCTTTAAGAATTCTTTAATCGAAATAAAATGAATTTGATCAATTTAGTTTAAATACCATTAATTTATTTAAATATGCCAATACTTGAATACATTAGATGATTTTCAAAAGCAGGTGTGCGCATAATGAAAATATTTTATCAAAATTACATACAATATTGTTTTTTTTAACAATAACTAGACATTTAAAAGCATTAATTTCATTTATTGTTTAGTAACAAAAGGATCTTCTAATAGTAAAATTCAGATTTCATTTATTATATGCAATATTAATAGAGTGTAAAATGAGTCCGTTAAAAGAATTTGTAAATAAAGAGATTACAAACAGTTTACTCATATATTAGTAGCTTAAAAAGCTTGGAAAGAACCATTAAGAATATTAGCAGGAGTTGTTGCGATTTTAATTTTTCCAGCTCTTCTAAATTGAGTAGGATATACTCTGGATGAGCGTGGAAAACAAATTTTCGTAATATGTTCTGAAATTTTTAATGGGTGAACGTAATTGCATGTAGATCCATAAGGGCATGCAGATTCGTTGCATATAGCATTTGATAATCTTGATATTGGTGTTAAAACGCATTCAACTTTTCTTCCGGCGTAATATTGATTGTTTAAAGTCAAAAATGCAGCTTGAGCAGCATCAACTTCTTTGAAACTTACATAAACATTACCATTCATGATGTCTGTTTTATTTGAAGCAATTAAAATATCTTCAACTGGTCCGAAACGTTGGCACATTAAGAAAATATCATAGTAAAATGCATCAGCTGCACGTTGCTTTTCTTCGTCGCTAATGGTTACTGAACCTGTTGGCAATAAAGCTAAAAAAACATCTGGATCCGGATATAAATGCTTAAATAACAGAATTCGTGACATAGGATCTGATCTATGTGGCTTGTTACACATCTCTCCTTTAAGACAAACTCCTGTTTTTTCGAATTGAAGGCAAAATAATTTTTCTTCACTCATTTTGTCACTTTTGAAATTGATTTAATGGTATTTTAAAAAACACTCAATATTGTTGTAAACAGAAATTCATCAAAAGTGACACCTCAGAAAAGCTAAAATATTGAATTTTTGGAACTTTTGTAAAGATTCTTTTTAATAAAAAATAAAATTTTGAAGAAGAACACAAAATCTTCTGAAAAATAATATCACATAAACTCATATTATTTTCTAATATATAACTATTTTCTATAAAAATCAAATTCAATGATCTTAAAAGCGAAGGATAAACCTCAAAATTTACGAATATAATGAGTGGGAATATAATGCTTATCTATCATAAACCATATGAAATATCAATTTTTGCTTTACGCCTATTCCCACTCATTATATTCGTAAATTTTGAGGTTTATCCTTCGCTTTTAAGATCATTGAATTTGATTTTTATATAAAATAGTTATATATTAGAAAATAATATGAGTTTATGTGATATTATTTTTCAGAAGATTTCATTCTATATGCCTATGAAAAGTACTCTCAAAACTAACTTTTTCCTAATTATAATTAAAATTAGAATATTGTATTATGCTTAGTATTATTTCATTTTTCTCATTCAATTTAGAATTTACAAATGTCAAAAAATTGAGAGCTGTCACTTTTGATGAATTTCTGTTTATTACAATATTATAAAGACTAAACAAATATCTTATAAAAATTATAAAAAAATTTCTCGTTAATTTTTACTATGAGTTACTTTGAAGAGGAAGAAGACGAGGGAAAGCCAATTACTCAAAAAGCAATTCACGAATCACTCAAAAAGAATTGCGGATATGTCAATTCGCCGGAACTTAATGACGTTCTTTATTTACATTATCGAGCTTTCACAAAGATAAAGAACTTAGATCCATATATCAATCTAAAAGCTCTTTGGCTCAATAATAATGCTATTTCTGCTATTGAAGGTTTATCAAATCTCAAAAGTTTGGCGTGTTTATATCTTCAAAACAATATCATTGAAGATCTAAACGGATTAGAAGGTTTAGATTCTCTAAAAACATTAGTTGTTTCAAACAATTTCATTTCGAATATTACTGGGCTTTCTGGTTGTCCAAATTTAACTACACTTGAAATTGATCATAACAGACTTAAGCAACCAGAATCGTTGGCTGGTCTTGCTGATGTACCTGAGTTAACAGTACTAAACATGACAGATAATGGCATGGAAAGCGAAAAATTTGCAGAATATCTCCTAAAGATACCAAAACTTCGCGTTTTACGAAATACTGGAAATCCTGTTACACGAAATATGGATAATTACCGCCGAAGGCTCATTTCTATGAATAAAGAACTCAGATTCCTTGATGACTCATCAATTGAGTTTGAAGAACGTCGTCTTGTTAACGCCTGGGTTCAGGGCGGTCCACAAGCAGAGAAGGCAATGCGCGAGCAAATCAAACAAGAAAAACTTCAACAACAAGATGAAAATAGAATTAAATTTAGGAACATGCAAAGACAAGCAATAATTGAAGCCGGACAATCCCTTAAAGATCATCCAGAACTATGGTCATCTGATGAAGAAGAGTCAGAAACTTCATCAGAAGGAAATCTTTTTACAGTAAGCTCAGATGATCAATTCTTCATAACAAATGGTGCAAATGATGAAACAAAAGATGAAAAACTACCTTTAAGTCCACTTAAAATAGAAGAAGAACACAAAGAACCCGAAAAATCTAAAATCACAATTATTTCTGAGGAAAAAACAAATGAAAAGGCATCAGATAAGTTTGATGTCGATGAACTTGATTGAAAAATCATTGTGACATTCATCAATTTTTATAATCTCATTATATTTTTTTACTAATTACTAATTTTTGTATATATTTTGATAAAATTATTGTATAATTCTAATTTTTTCAGGAGAATTTTACTAATTATGAGGAAAAATGAAATTATTGTAAATTTAATGAGATTTCAGACACATTATTAAGCGATAAAGTTGTGTCTGATTATGTTATTTCTACTTTACCTGAAAGGTAGTTGATCCTAGTTATACTAGGAATTAAAAAATATTAATTTACAAAAATCGAGTGTGGGACAAACTATCCAGTGTCACTTTTTTATTAACCTTATTTAAAAAAATTAATAAAATAATAATAAAAAATTATTTGAATCTTTTACATTAATTGTTTCTTTTTTAAAAGTACCTTTAAAGTACAATAAACAAGATTTGAATCTATTGATCCTTGTTGCAAACTTGAATATATTGCTTCAAGCATTTTTGAGAGTAGCCCATGCTAGCTTTTATCTCTTCTTGGATACCAAACTGGAGGAGCTCCATAGTGTTGAATATCACGGGCTCCATACAACAAATTGAATAAGGTATTTCAAAATTTGAAGGAAATGGTCCATCATTGAATGTAGTGGCCGGGAATTGAATGACATACAGATAGTTTGAGGAAATTTGTTATAAATTATAATATAATTGAAGAATTAATTATCAAAACAAGTCTAAGAGCCATTTGTCAGATTTCCCGAAATGCAAGGTTAAGATTTTAGCAGCGACTAACTTTGAGTGTACATATATAATTGTTATACTGAGTACTTTCTATCTGTGTTACTTATTTGAGTCTAAGAGCCATTTGTCAGATTTTCCCGAAATGCAAGGTTAAGATTTTAGCAGCGACTAACTTTAAGTGTACATATATAATTGTTATACTGAGTACTTTCTATCTGTGTTACTTATTTGAGTCTAAGAGCCATTTGTCAGATTTTCCCGAAATGCAAGGTTAAGATTTTAGCAGCGACTAACTTTGAGTGTACATATATAATTGTTATACTGAGTACTTTCTATCTGTGTTACTTATTTGAGTCTAAGAGTCATTTCTACCATAGAACTAGATATTGTCTCTCATTAAATATATATAACTGTAAACTGCTTAATTCATTTATCTATTTAGATAAAATTATATTTATATAAGATTTCATGTTATTATTTCATCTTTATTATTTTTTTTATTCCTTTGAAAAGTGACACTGGATAGTTTGTCCCTTTCTCACAAAAATCCAATTATTTGATGCCTAACTTATCAAATCTTGCAATAAAGTTGATGTATTATGCCCGAAACTATGGGACATGCTATAGTAAAAAAAGAATAATAGTACAGAAGACTAATTTTGTAAATAATGGTGGTAAAAAAATATTGATAAAAAAAATTGACATTAAAATTTATTAATGTCTAATCAAGATAGTCATCCAAGCAAATACAGTGAATTGAGAAGTCTCTATAAATATTATATCGATTCATATAATGCGTTGTATCAGCTAAAAACAGAAAATGAAGAAGATTTAAATTCCATTTATAAAATGATCAAAACAGAATTGATTGATTCAAAGAAATCTCTTCCCCAGAATATAATTAAAGACATTTTAAGTATCATTCCGTTTAATAATCGCTATACAAACTCATATTTGAGACTTGCGAAATTTATTTCCGATGATTATCATGTCAAGGAGGTAAAAGAAATACATTTTTTCTTAATTATCTTTTTTATAAAGAATGTGGAATTAAATTAGATGTATCTTGCGATTTTGAAAAATTTAAATTAGAACATCTCGATATTCATACAGAAGATACAATTTACAGAGCAATTATGTATGATGACATAAAAAGATTTATTGCATTCACAGAAGAAAATGGATTTGATAAAAATCAAAAACTTGAAAGCAAATTTTATGCATTTTCTATCGAAGGATATTCATTACTTGAGTTATGTTGTTATCATGGGGCAGTTGATTGTTTCAAGCTATTATTAACGAAATTTAACTCCAAAATAACTAAACAATGCCTAAAATGTTCATTTTTTGGAGGAAATCCAGAAATAATGAATGAATGTTTGAAATATCAAGAACCAGATTACGATTGCATGGGATATGCAATTATTTCGCACAATATCGATTTTGTCACTTTCTTGATGAATGAATACAATATAGATATCGATATATCAAATTGCCGATATTACAAAAATCTTGATGCATTTTTAGTTTATTTCGATCAAACTAATGATATTAACCAATGCTTTATTTATTCAGTAATGTTTAATATTCCATCTCTTTGTAACTATTTCCTTACTCATGGTGTAAATATCAATGCAAAAAATAATAACGGACAAACAGCTCTTCATTGTGCAGCTGAATATAATTGTAAAGAAACAGCCGAATTTCTTATTTCGCAAGGGGCAAATATCAATGAAAAAGATAAAGATGAAAAAACTGCTCTTCATTGCATATCATTTCATAGGAGTATAGAAACAGCTGAAGTTCTTATTTCACATGGTGCAAATATCAATGAAAAGGATAAAACCGGATCAACTGTTTTACATTATGCAACACTTTTTAAACAAAAAGAATTAGTTAAACTACTTGTTTCGCATGGTGCTAATATCAATGAAAAAGATGAATGCGGAAAAACAGCATTTCATTGCACATCATTTCATAATACGAAAGATACGATTGAACTTCTTATCTCACATGGTGCAAATATCAATGAAAAAGATAATGTTGGAAAAACTGCTCTTCATATTGCAGCATATCATAATAAAAAAGAAACAGCTGAAACTCTTATTTCGCATGGTATAAATATCAATGAAAAAAACAAATATGGAGAAACAGCTCTCCATAATGCATCGAGAAATAATAGCAAAGAAACAGCTGAAATTCTTATTTCACATGGCGCAAATATCAATGAAAAAGATAACGACGGGAAACCCCTCTTCATTTTGCAGCATCAAATCATTATGCAGAAATAGTTAAACTACTTATTTCTCATGGTACAAATATAAATGAAAAAAATAATGATGGAATGACAGCCCTTGATTATGCATCACGCTATTATGATAAAAAATATCAGAAATTCTTTTTTCACACGGTGCCAATTCTAATAAAGAAAGCGTATGAAGAATTTAAATTAATGGTAAGTATATATGGAATGTTCTATTTTGAAATACACCGATGGATGCATCCAAAGATACCATATTATCAAGTTTTATCTGCAAAATAAAAATAAAAAACATGTGGATTAATTTTTAAAAGCACAAATTCAATAATTCATTAGTAAAAAAATAACAATAATAATTTACACAACTTTGAACTCTAACATAAAACATCTCCAACTCTTGCATGAAATGTTCTGAACAATGCATCCAAAGATATATAAGGGAAAAACATTATTAGTAATAATAAAAATAATAATTTACACAACTTTGAACTCTAAAACAGAAAGTTATATATTCTATAGTTTGAAATACTCTGAAGAATGCATCCGAAGCAATTCCGTTATCAACCATATTCAACAAAATAAAATCATTAGTAAGAATAATAATAATTTACACAACTTTGAACTCTAAAATAAAATGTTGCCAAACTTATTTGGAAATTCCAATCGCGAGATTGGAAATTCCAATCTCTCAATATTTCCAATTGCGACGGTTTTTCCAATCGGGCGGTTTTTCCAATTACGACGGTTTTTCCAATTAATTGGAAATTCCAAATAAGGGGGTATATTTATAAATTCACTGCTATTTATAAATAGGTCTAATATAATTGTCAGAAATTATAAAACGATACCGTTATTGAGAAGAATTATGACTCCGAAAAAAAATTACCAATATTCTTTTAGTAGAATCAGCATAATATTCTAAATAGTTTCACACTAAAAAAGCTCATTTTCATAAAAATATTATCATCCACCGTAAAGTTCAGAAAAAAAAGGTATATTTTTGTTGGATCAAGAAATTCAATAGTTATTGAAACTTACATCACCGGGATTATAAAATAATTCAGATAATTATGTTAGTTATTCAGAATTTTTTGTGGTCAATTATAATTGAATTAAAACGATTGAGAATGATCTGAAAAATCATTTTAAGTGATGTTTGCAGTCTTATCTGTCCTAGCTGCATCTTATGATCACACAGATGCATTCACTAACCAGTATAATGAAATCTATGTTGTTCCTCAACAGAAATGGGAAGCGAAGAAGGGTTACAAGGTTGCCACAACTCCAGAAAACCCTAATGTTCTTGTTGAAGTCAGTAGTAAGGATATTGAAATCAACCTTCCATACTTCAGTGTTGTTACAGTTAATGGTGACAAGAACAAGATCACAGTTACAGGACCAGGTATTGTCCAAGTCAATGGTAACAATAACGTAATTAAGAATCTTTTCGACCTTACTGCACCTCTCACACACCCTTTAATTCTCATAAACGGCACATCTAATGAGGCCAAAGCAACTTACAAGGGAAAATCTTTCACACATCAGCCTATTCTAGCTTATGTCCTTACACCAACAACAGACAAGACCAAACTCCCAGATGAAAACTGGAAGGGTGATAGAGATTATTGGGTTCATGCCAAAGGCCCAGATAGTCCATCATTACGTAATGCTGATGTCTGCAACTATTTCAATATTTCCACCCTCTCATTTGTTCAAATGATGAACAATACATTAATTTATGTTATACCTTATGAGAATGAATCAATCGGCAAGTACACAGACCCAATAACTGTAGGTGTTGCTATTATGGTTTCAGTTATTGTTATTTGCATCCTTATTGTTATTTGCGTTATTGGGGTTGTTTGTGTGTATCCCAAAATTTTGTATAGAAAAGCTAGCTTCCCAGACATAGGGAATCGTTAGATAATTATCATATGAATAAATCAAAGTATGACTATATTATTTTTAATTTTTATTTCCAAAAAGGATTGTAGGAAAAAAAGTTGATGAATTTGATTGATAAAAAAAATCTAAAATAATAAAATCAAAATTACAAAATAATTATTGATAAAAAAAAGGGGGGAACTTCGTCGACAACAAAGGTATCGACCAAAATTGTTCCCATCATGCTTGACATATGATGAGAGTTCTCAGAGTGAGGCAGCTCCAATGTATATATGCGTATTGATTGGGTTGCTGTAAGACGCAGTGTTTGTGTGTATTTCGATTGGAACTGCTTTACTCTGAGATCTCTCATTAATCGATGAGAGAAATAAGAGCAAATAGCTCCAATGTATATATGTGTATTGATTGGGTTTGGTTAGCTTGACTGTCTGTGAGTAATTCGATTGGAACTGCCTCATTCTGAGATCTCTCATCTATTGATGAGAGAAATAAGAGTAAGGCAGTTCCAATGTATATATGCGTATTGATTGGGTTGCCGTAAGTTGTAGTGTTTGTGTGTAGTTCGGTTAGAGCTGCTTTGCTCTGAGAACTCTCATCGATTGATGAGAGTTCTCAGAGCAAAGCAGCTCCAATGTGTAAATTTGTATTAGTTCGTGTGTAAGAAGTTGTAGTGTTGGTGCTTAGTTTGATTATCAAGAAGCCCACGATTCTCAACTCATCAAATGAAAAGTTTATAGTGAGCTTCTTGATAATATGTTAAAGGTGATTACACAACTTTGAACTCTAAAATAAAACGTCACCAACTCCTTGCTTGATATTATTCTAATATAAGGAAAAAATAAAAAATAATAATAATAATAATAATAATTTACACAACTTTGAACTCTAAAATAAAACGTCACCAACTCCTTGCTTGATATTATTCTAATATAAGGAAAAAATAAAAAATAATAATAAAAATAATAATAATTTACACAACTTTGAACTCTAAAACAGAAAGCGGGGCGAGGTCCTCCATTGTCTTCACGTCAGTCAACTCCTTGAACATCTCTCTTCTCTTTGCGCAGACGTCGAAACACTCAAACTTTCCGACGTATCTGATACTTGCGTCGATCATTGTTGTTATCATGAATCTGAGTGTTTTCATTGTCACGACGTACTCTGAGAACTTAGAGAAAGGAGAGATTCCCTCTCTCGCTGGACTTTTCTCTGTGACTTTGTACAAACCAGATCCAACAGGAGAAACAGAAATAACTTGTTTCCTGATCTGTGGCATCACGTAGTCGTATCCTGACTCGTTAAACACCAATCTCAGTGAGAAATCATTCTCAGAATCAATGAATTTAGCAATTCCTCCTGCAATAGGAAGTGTTGCAAGGAATTTGTCGTCAATCTTCATCGGTTCACCGAGAACTTGCATGAACTGGGCCATGGCTGCACTGTTTCTGATGCTGTTTTTACCAAATTTGCGGTCATTAAGTGTAATATGACTGATTTGGACTGGAACTTTTGGTAATTTGTCTAATTTGTCGAAATTCTTGATGACTTTGTTGACTTCTGTCCTGTTTTGTTGGGCAACGACCTTAAGTTTGTTGGTAGAATCCAAAATTCCCGCGGAAAGAAGGAAATCTACAACTCTTGGTCGGAAATACGGCGTTTCCTTGCCGAATTTCTCAATAAAGCCAAAGTCATCAATAGACAACCACTTGGTGAACACTTCTACGAAGTGATCGTGTAGTTGTTTGTCACAATCTGAAAATCCGGTGATTTCGATATGGGGAATACCCAGTGGCTCCTCTTTATCTTCATCTGCGGGGTCGTATGGCTCGACATTTGATGGTTCTGGGGCTTTCAGATCGACTTTTTGGATTCTTTCTGATAAAATTGGTTTTTCTTCGGTCTTGAAGTGGTCTTCGATGAGCCAAGCGACTCTTCCGAATGGTCCGCGCACGAGGATGACAATTGGCTGTGTTCCATTCGGCATTTCCATGAAAGTTATCAATAATGAGTTGGAAATCGTGAAATAATACTTGCGGCAACCGATCATTTTGTACTTTTCGCAAATATCATTCTCTGTACCACAGATTTTGCCTTCATTACGCGTGAAATATTCGTATGACGGATAATGAATATTTGCTCTAGCGTAGATTGTCGAAAGGAGGCCTTTGATAAGTCGCTTGTTCTTCAGTGGTACTTTCTTGTCGTTGTCAATCAGCTTTTGGACAAAAGCAGCGTACTCAAAAATCGAATTTACGTTTTCTTTGACATTTAAGACGTCATTGCAGTATTCGATGAGAGAGTATATCATGACGAGTGCAGCTGCGATGGTCATGTCCGAGTTTTGGAGCTTTCTGAGATCGGACGATGTAACTGCGGTCAAAATGAGCGGAAGGAGGTGTAATTGGTTGAACATATCGATGTAGGATTGGTTGTAGCGGGTAACAGTACCAACTAATGTAATAAGTGTCGAATAAAATGGAATCGAATCATCTGTAGATGCTTTACGAATATTTGGTAGTGAAAACGCTTCTGCAATTTTTGCGAAGATGTTTATGTTCTCGAATTTCGATGCGTAAGTAAGTAATGCGACTTTATTCTGATCATGAGGAGTTTCGTTGTATAATTTATGAAATGCGTTGGCAATCATTGATAAGTCGTTGTTGGACCTCGAATATATCTCTGAAGCTGAGATAAACATTCCGGTAGCGCAATGATATAATAATCCTGGGTCAAATCTCTTTGTTTGCTTGAGATCGAGTTTAGGAATGAACATAAGAACAGATTCGGCCATGAACGGATGGAAATCGCTCCATTTTCCGAAAACATTTGCTCCATTTATCAAAAATGAGGCAACGAGCTGTGGTCTTCCGATCTTTGCGAAGCTAAGAGCCAATTGGAGTATCTTTAGCCTTGTTTCTTCGTTCTGCTGGAACTGTAAGTTCGATGCAACTAATAATAATGTTCCGAGCATCGTTGAGAGTCCGTAATCGAATTCTGCGTTTAGTTTGAGATCGATATGAGTGATGGCCGGTCCGAACATCTGTAAAAATGTCTTGGCAGGGAATCTTGGGATATAAAACGGAGAAGTATGCTTTGCGTAGTTCGTATACCCGTTCAAAATGTTGAGAATAATCTGTTGGAAGTTGTCGAGGTTGTCAGGAGTCTTCATTGTCATGTCATGATCGATACAATATAAGAAATGATGATAAATGAAGTTAAGAGTCTTGGAATCAATGGATTTGCCACCTGTATAAATTCCTCCTTCAATAAATTCGTCCGTTTCGAACTTTAAGACCCTTGAAAAAACAATTTTTGTCAATTTTTGAACGAAAACACCCCAAACTTTGATAAAATCGAGGTTGATTGACCACTTGAAGCAGTACTCGTTAAATAATTTCCAGAAATCTGGTTTAACAATGCCAGATGTCAAACAAACGTTGAAATACACAGTAATTGCTTTCTGACGGAGTTGAACTTGCTTCTCGTCAACCAATAAATTGCGGTAGTTAAAGAATATAATCGAATTAGCAATAGCAAGTGTACATTTAAATAAAACTTCCCATGTTTCAACTTCGAATAATTTTCCAGCTGTTTCGGCGAAATTATCATATTCATCGAGAATTGCCATGATTATGTCGAAAAACTTTGTTTCGAAAATATCTTTTGAAATTGCGGCTCTAAATTGAAATGGCTGCGTCATATGCTTAAACATGCGACGGAAAAACTTATTCTGTCTCTTAACATCTCCAAATATCTCAGGACGTGAGAACCAGTTATGATAAATATTTTTTGCCGTTTCAATATGAGTATATTCTTGAATTTCTAATCCGAATGCTACTGCGAGGAACTCCATAATAAATTTTACTCTCTTTTTGCGTGTTAAATCGAGTGTCTCTTGTCTTTTCTTGAAATCAGATAAAAAAACTTTTGTTCCTGCCTCAGCAACATCCTGAGGAACCGTTGTGAGAGAATAACAGTCTTTATCCTCGGATAGTAAATCAGATTCCTTCAAAAATTTAAGCATTAAAATTGGTGGTGTATCCATCTGATTTGAAGGTCTTCGATTTTTTTTGTAAAGCTTTTTGAACGGGGTTTGAGAAATGGAATGGGAACTGTAATAAACAGAAATTCATCAAAAGTGACAGCTCTCAATTTTTTGACATTTGTAAATTCTAAATTGAATGAGAAAAATGAAATAATACTAAGCATAATACAATATTCTAGATTTAATTATAATTAGGAAAAAGTTAGTTTTGAGAGTACTTTTCATAGGCATATAGAATGAAATCTTCTGAAAAATAATATCACATAAACTCATATTATTTTCTAATATATAACTATTTTATATAAAAATCAAATTCAATGATCTTAAAAGCGAAGGATAAACCTCAAAATTTACGAATATAATGAGTGGGAATATAATGCTTATCTATCATAAAACCATATGAAATATCAATTTTTTGCTTTACGCCTAATTTTTGACGACAATTAGCAAAAAATGTTAAATGTTAACACTCAGTCCATTTGAATATGAAAAATAAAATTGACTTTGATTAAATGTTTTTATTTATCATGCAATTCTTCTTGCGACCAAAGATTTGAATAAAAGTTCAAAAAATAAGATAGCTTAAAAAATAATATACGGTAGTGTTTACTAATAGATGAATAGTATATAAATTCTATTAAAATGGATTTGATCCAAAAAAATATAAAACCAAAAATAATTGTTATAATTTAAATGAAGAAGTAATTTAAAACGATTTTATTTATGATCAAATTTTATATATTTTTTTGGATCAAATCCATTTTAATAGAATTTATATACTATTCATCTATTAGTAAACACTACCGTATATTATTTTTTAAGCTATCTTATTTTTTGAACTTTTATTCAAATCTTTGGTCGCAAGAAGAATTGCATGATAAATAAAAACATTTAATCAAAGTCAATTTTATTTTTCATATTCAAATGGACTGAGTGTTAACATTTAACATTTTTTGCTAATTGTCGTCAAAAATTAGGCGTAAAGCAAAAATTGATATTTCATATGGTTTTATGATAGATAAGCATTATATTCCCACTCATTATATTCGTAAATTTTGAGGTTTATCCTTCGCTTTTAAATCATTGAATTTGATTTTTATTATAAAAATAGTTATATATTAGAAAATAATATGAGTTTATGTGATAATTTTTTCAGAAGATTTTGTGTTCTTCTTCAAAATTTTATTTTTTTATTAAAAAGAATCTTTACAAAATATACATTTACTTTAATTAATATTTAAAAACGTGCTCTATCAAAAGTTCCAAAAATTCAATATTTTAGCTTTTCTGAGGTGTCACTTTTGATGAATTTCTGTTTACAACAGAACCATATAAACAAATAGCTTATTAAATCGAAATATTAGAAAAATAGCAAATCTATTCAATAAACGTTTTTTGCTGGAAATTGAGGTCATGAATAAAAAAATTGAGGTGAATTTTTTTCTAATAATATTGATATTTAGATCTTTAAAAACATTTTTTATATAAAAAATCTTCCCGAAACAAAAATTGAGAACTTTTACAAATTGTAAACTTTATAAAAAAATTATTAAAAATTAATTTAACAACAAACAATCTAGTTTTTATCTAATATACAAAAAAAATAATAAAACAAAAATAATGAATTAATACAATCCTTCGCAAAATTCAGCGAGAAGCATATCCATACTACTTTCACCATTTCCGTCAACAACTGTACTCTTCGTAATTTCCGAAGAAAGATTCATGCAGAATTGTTCAGCATCAAATTTGGAATCAATCGGAACAATAAAAGGAGGAATTCCGAAATTGGTGTATTCGGGTGAAGAGAACTTAAGAGCGTTTGTGAAGTTCCAAAGATCGTTCCTAGATATCAATTTGTGGTCGTAAGGAACAAGATATTTTCTGAAACTGTTTGAAAGAAGGGCATCTGCAAATACGCGCTTAAATGCATCATACTGGAAGTCCCTATACTTAAATCCTTCATTGATTAATACAGACGATAGATCTAAAGGAACAATTTCTTTAATTGCAAGAGAAATCGCTTTTCTAAGGCAACTATCGAATGTAAAGTATGGTGAAGGTGTTTCATTGCAGTTAAATCTTATTATTGGAGTGTTTTCGTTGTCAATAACTGCATTAGATTCGCAAATTAAATGAGATCCAAGTTCAAAGTCCGTAAAGATGAAGTCTTGACGGACAATGAGTAAATATATGGTCGATTTACCTATATTTATGTGGTCACAGAATATGATTGTCCCATCAGTTCTGAATCTTTCTATGGCAAATAGAGATGATGGAGAATTATCACCGGCAGAGACACCAACTGTAGCGAAACAATTCTCTGGAATATCTTTGGGAATAATACTTTCTATGGAAAGTGCTGCTGGAATGATTTTTGTCCTCTTAAATTCTAATACTGTATTTGCGAATGGGTTTAGTGGGACACTAGATATCTCTGGCGGTGTAATGATCCTTGGAGTTGCAATTACTGGCTTTTCAGGCTCTACTTTTAGAGGTGCAGGTTGAATTGGAATTTTTGGTTCTTCTGGTAAAGTTTTTTCACTTTCTGGTTCTTGAGCTTCTGTTTCTTCTTCATTAGAGCTTGTTTCCTGTGATTCATTAGTTTCTTCCGTTGATTCTTGTGATGATTTTTCTTCTGACTCTTGAACTTCAGGAGAAGATGGAACTTGAGTTTCAGCAGCATTAGCAAATGTATCAGGTTTCATGTAAATCGGTGGAGGATTACCAGAAGACGAAATCGTGAAAATATCAACGAAATTAATTCCTTGAACGACCAAATTTATCTTTTTTGGTATAATTGCCTTGACATCTTTAATAATATTTGGCAGTGAATCTTTCTTAAATCGAATTCCTGCGTCAATTGTTTCGAAATTCATGTATGGAGCCCATTTCTCGAATTGCGAGGGCGTCATGAACATCTGTGTAGTAAAGAATTCAGGACGCATTGGTAGATATTTGAAAGAAGCTCGAAATGAATAAAGAGATTCTGTCCAAAGGTCTTTTGCACTTGCAATTGCAGCACACATAATGTGGAGGGGTGCTGATAATGCTTTCGCTACGTATTTGTGGATATTCTGCATATTGTAAGCAGATCTCAAATCTAAAACGAATTTCATCGCTGCAGACTCAAGAACGTAGTTAGAAAGTACTGTAAGCTTCGTAGTGAATAAATTCGTGGTAATATACAAAAGTATGTGAGCTGCTCTGAATTCTGCCTCATTTTGAGGATGTTTTCCTGTTTGTTTGAAATATAAGTCGTATTGTTCGTCTAATGATATGAGTGTTTGAGAAATTTGCTCGAAGTTTTGGAAGGGATCGAATTCTGGCTCTTCTTGGAACTTTACTGCACAAAAAATGAAAAATATTGCAATTTTTTCTAATATATCGATAATTTCAATGCCTTTCAAGTTCTGGAATGTAATATCTTGTCTAATAGCTCTGAAACGGTCGCGTACGAATATAGCCATGTTCCATTCCGTTGCGCCCTCTTTTAAGCCAGTTAACTTGCCAATTACGACATCAATGATGTGATCTAGAGTTTTCTTTAGTACAGGCAACGGCCTGATATCAGATTGATCGAAGCTTTTGCCCGCATCACTACGATGAAATTTTTTAATTGCGAATTCTGGACTATATTTAAGAGTTACTGGGTTAATTTCGAACCATTCGTTTCTGCGTTCATTAAGCTCTGATGCTGGACACATTGACATACATGTTCCAACATGAGATTTTGAACTCATTTGGAAAGCGCTTTTTAGTTGTCACTTTTCTTAAATCGAGAAAAATTATTTTTTCACTAAACTGTAAAAATATAGTATCAATAGCATGTCTGTTTTAAATATGTGCTTATTTTCCAAATTTGACTAAATCTTTTGAATTTGGAAGCTAAATTAGAAGGAAGTGCCTCACAAACAGCTGCAATGCAACACAAAATAGAATCATAGAAGTCAAAATTAGAACAAGAACAACAAAAGAATGCAGATGAAATAGTAGTAGGATAGGATGGGTTGTGTGACTTTTTTTGTTACATCTATATATAGACGATGCATTAAAATATATTTATTTATAAATCATTAAAAAATTAACATTAATTTTAAAATAATTATTTTCATGAATGAAAGATTCACTACCATAATGAAATAAAAAATAAAAAAATAAACTTTAAAAAGAATTTGATGAGTTCAACATTGAACTTTAAGAAATAAATGATTATTTGAATTTATGAAATCAATTATTTGATTCATTCTTTCTTCAATCTCTTCTATTCTTTTTGTTAAATCATCTATTTTCATTAATGAGGTGATTCTTGATTGAGGAATAGATTTCAAACTAATCACCCCTTTTATTTTTGAAATTTTGAATCCATCAACTTTAAACATTTTATTCAATTTGCACGTTGTCAATTCTTCAAATAATTTTTTATTGTTAGCATAATAGTCATTAAATTCTTCAACAGATGAAAAAAATTTTATTTCAGTAATTGGTTTAACAACGTTTATTTTTTGTTGAACATTTTCACTTTCATTTATTTCTTCCTCCTCTGTTTCATTTATTTTTAAAATCGGTTTCATTTATCATTAAATAAAAATTAGAATATAAGTGATGAAATATATTTTTTAATTAATATTAAATCAGAAATGGCGGCAGGATTCTTTAAAAAATTATGGGATGGAATTAAGAAAGCTGCGGGTTAGGTTTATAAAAAGATTATTAAACCCGTTGCAAACTTTTTGGCACCAGTAGCGAAAACGGCAGGAACTATCATAGGTGGAGTATTAGGTACTAAAGCAGGTAATCCGGCGATGGGAGCACAAGCAGGTAACGCAATTGGTGGAATTGCTGAAGGAATACTTAATAAAATAGGAGGTAGATAGTGGAAAAATAAATAAATATTATTTTTATCTTAGTATCGGTTGAAGTCTTTGATAAACTTTTTCTCCTTTATTTAAAACTTCTCTTATTGGGGTAGCTTTTGGTGTTATTGATTCAGCAATGTCACTAATTGCTTCTTTATTCTTAAATATCCAATTTGCTCCCTTCTTCAATGTTTCCCAAACTTTACTCGCTCCTCTTTTTACTTTATCCCACAGTTTCTTAAATATACCTGCAGCCATAGTTGATTATTTCATTAAAATTAAAAATTCATTTTCATCTTTTAATTTTGATTTTTTATTTATTAATAAATGACGACTAACTATTTAGTGCCAAACACTAAACCGATTAATGGAAATGTGTTTCATTCATTCGAAAAGATAAATGAAATATTCGCAAAGAATGACGATAGAAGATATTATAGAGAACTTGAAAGTTCATGCTATGACTCTGATGCTCCATATTTTGATGATAAACAAACTCATTTAAGAATTACAAATCCGGCTCATGATGTGAACCAATTAGGTGACACATATATTAAACGCAAAGTTAAAGCAACTCTAGTTTCAAATAAAGCTTTCACATGCGATGCCGCTTTTAAATGCATGCGTTTATTCGTTGGTTACAAATCATCAAATCAAAGCTTTAAACAATTAGAAGTAGAAACTGAAAGAGGTGATGCCGGTTATCTTCAAATGGATTGCGCCCGTGAATCTTTCGCATTTGCAACATATAAACCAAAATCAGAAAGGAAAGTTAAAAAGTTTGTTCATTCGTTATATAATAATGTTCAAAAATATGATAACTCAGTATGTGGTAAATATATTGACCCTTCAGAAGTTTTCAAGAAAGCAAATGAAGAAGTTGATGTCACTTTTGATATGATTATTCCGGTAAATGATTTGTTAGCATTTCAGGCGTTCGATGATTATCCTAAATCATTTGGTGAAATCATTCTTAAATATTATGTTTTCAGGGATACTTTAGTATTTTGTCAGGTTGACCCGTTAAGAGTTGCTGATTTACAAAATTACGTTTATGAAAAGATAACTGATGAAAATTATGAAAAGATTATGAATCATGTTTATAAATATGATCGCAAATTCCAACAAATCGGACTTCCTGCCAAATTAATTACAAGCTTAGCCGCTACATCTGCTGACGCAACAGTTGATAACGTTATTATTTCATGCACAAAGATGGAAGTTTTAGAGGATAAATGCATTACACCAGGATACGGTTTAATTGAAGAATCAGTTAAAGCAATACCACGTTTATTCAGTAAGGAAGATCCATTCATGATTCCAGCTCAACATATTGACGTTCGTTCACTAAATGGAGGTTGCATCACTCCTGAAGGTATCAGCTCAGATTTCTCATACGCTCTTCATAATGTTACAGATGTTGTGTTAACATTTCCGAAGAATGCAATGCAAAGAACAGTTTTAGAAAATCCAATGCTTCGAGGTTTCAGGTCACTATAGATTCCAGAAACTTCCCCGATCAAGCGATGACCACAGTGGTGACATATTCTTTACACGTATGCTTCAAGCTTCTGATTTAGATGGAGTGAATGAATGCACAGAAGAATACGAGGACTCATTAACTAGACCACTGAATGATGATAATGGCACGCCATTAGTTAGAACATGGAAAGACCAAACTTCATTCTTATGCACTATTCCAGTTCAACGTGATGGAGCGGGTATATTCTTTGATGGATTAGAAACTTTCAACTCACAAGTTACAGTACAAGTGAAAGCTTATCCAATCATTCAGGGTGAAAATGACACTTACTGTTCAAAGGTGACAAATCCTCCTCAGGTTTGGTTTACTAGGACTACGTATTGGACATGGACACCGGATGAAGGTTTGAAATATCATCCAACAGGTACACCACCACAGTATAGAAGTTCATATGATGAAATATTGATGAATAGAAATGTTTAAAATTATAAATTTATTTTTGATTAAATAGATTTAAATTCATCCACCCCTTATGAAGAATTAGCAGGAGTATATAATACATACGTAGATGATATGATTAATGAAGCATTGAGTGATAATAGAAATGCTCTATCTAAGGAAAAATTAATGAAAATTCCATATTCTGAATGTTACTTAAATTCAATCACTGCAGCAATTGGTAAACAAAATAAAGGTAAAACATTAACGATATTAAAACAAATTATCATTATTGCTAACACTTCCCCCTATTCACATGTGTTAATTTATATCAACCGTTCAGGTTCACCTTCAGATGATACATTTGAATCTTTAAAGCATTTAATCAAAATTCCAATTATTTATTTATCACAAGAAGAAGCAGAAGATTTTTAAAAAACTTTTTAATGTATAAAGAATTATATAATACAATCAAGAAGCAAGGATTAGAGGATAAAATTATTGATAAACAACGGGATGAATTATTTGAAACACTTTCTATTTCAAATTTTGATAGAGAATTTTTGCATTCACTCATTTTTCTAGATGATGCAGTGAAATCAAAACTAATAACAAATGAGAAATCATATTTTAATCAGTTATTAACTCAATGTCGACACATTCAGTGTTCATTCTTTATGGCTGTTCAATACTTCAAAGCATTAAGCACAAACATTAAATCAAATCTATCAACACTTTTCATTTTCAGTGGGTTTAGTCGTCAACAGTTGAACGTTATGCTTTATCAAGTGAATTTACCAATGAGCATTAATGAACTTTACACACAATATCAGCAATTAGGTGAACATGGAAAAATAATAGTTGATTTAAATAAAGGAAGTGTTAAATTTGATTAACTTTTTATAATTAATTTTTATTTTTTATTTATAATTAAACATGACTGAAATAGCAAATCTTCTACAGGTTCCATTAAAACAAGGAACAAACAAAAAGGGTGCATATAATAGAACTATGAAAGTTCCTGATGGAATGAAAGAATTAGTTCATATTGTTGCTGGTCTTCAAAAAGATGTTAAACAAATGAGAAACGTTTTAACATTACCAGAAGCTCAAGCATATGCCAAACGTCATGGTCCAAATTGGGAAGCACACGAAGCAGACATTACGGGTCCAAATGGAAAACCTGATGGTATAAATGAAGTTTTCGTTACTGATGGTCAAGGTAATATTAAAGTCATAAATGGTTATAAATTAACTATAACTGATTATCCTAAACGTAAAGCATATAATGAACGTTATCCTATGCAATTTGATGAAAATGGAAAAGCTGTTAAACAATACATTGGAGAAGGTGAAAATGGTCCAATTAATTCATACCGTCATAATCCATATTCTTATTTCAATGAAGAATTAAATGCTATTGAAGAGGGACCGGATGGATTACCACGATATTCTAACCAGTTTGATGGTCAATATGCAAATATTAGACCTGAAATTTCAGCTAAGAAATTCTTTAAAGTTGCTTTATTCGATCCAGTTTTCGCAAATGTTAAAGATGAACTTAAACAGCAATTCCAACCAATTATAGTAGCAAGAATTGCATCAGGTGCTTTATCTCAAGCATTCAAAGATTTAATTAAGAAACCATTATATCAGCAACGGGTTTAACTTATGATTTAGTTAAGGAATCAGATAAAAGAAAATTTGAGAAATCAGATGATTATAAGAATGCAATTAATGAATATATTCGGTCTATTAATTACAATGAAACAGCTAAAAATCAACTTCATGAACAAATACAGGGAATAATAGATTCAAAAGTTCCAGCAAAATAAAAGTTTAAATATATTTTTTTATTCGAATATAAATGAGAAGACGTTTCACTAGTCAAAAGAACACTAACGCAAAAGCAGAGATTACGGTTGGTTATAACGTAAATGATGATAAATCACGAATTATTCAAAATGTTAAAGTTAATGTTAGCCCGAATTAACAAGGTCAGCAACTCAACCAAATTTATTAACTCGTGACTTACCGAAAAGGAGGAGGAGCAAAATAAAGAAGATGGAGACCCAATCATTTTATCTGAACCCGGTAAAGAACCTGTTGAAATTCCCACTTATCCAACATACCCCACCTCTTTCATCAAACATCGAGAACCCATATAAAATAGACATTAATTCTGAATTAATGAAAATTTACCGTGATATAATAATTAATAATTATGATTCAATAATAAATTTAATTGACCAATCCGGTTTAATTATTTTACCTTATGAATCATTAATTCACATTATCGCCATTCTTTGTGATGTTCAAGATTCAGACGTTAAGATTCAATTTTTCATAGATGATGAGGTTTCATGCTGCGGAACAGTTGCAAAAATAAATCCTATAAAGGATATTAGCACAATTAAGATATCAAAGAACGGAACAACAACTGAACTTCATTTAACATATAATGATATTTATAATAAAATAGTTGATGAATATAAAATATCACTTGAAAAATTCTTTGTTAAGGCTATTTAATATTCAAGCATTAACATTATCGAATAATAATCCTTTGAATCATAATCAATAATAATTGACCTTTCACCAGTTTCTATCGTTTGTTTTATTTCTTTTTGTTCCCCACTATCCGGATCGGTCATTGTAATTGTTTTTGTTATAGTATCAGCTTTATCTTTAACTTCAATCTTTTTTCCATCGGGATATTTAAACCAAAATTCCAAAAATTCGATATTGTCAATCTGTTCATATTTTAATCTATCAATTACATTTTTAATACCATCTGAAAATCTTATGAAATGGTCATTATATGGGTTTGATTGAACTAAATTTGAATGAAGTGAAATATAACCTGTTGATGAATATGACATTGACTCATATTTTCTGAAAACACTAAAATTTATAACATGAATGAATTTCTTATTCGTTGAATTTATGAATTCTTGAGGTAATCTTATTTCTAGTTTTATTTATCACGGAAAATAACGCTTTACCATATTTTTAATCGTAATAAAAATGTCAATTATCAATATTATTTCGAATAATACTGTGAATTAAATTTAACAGTTAGCGGAATTTATAATGTTACTCTCGTTTCTGTGAGTGGTAAATTTAATCCCATTCTTTTAGACCCTTCAGATTATATATCATTTATTAAAGATGACCATGAAAAAACGTATGATATGTATATAAATAATGTGATACGAAATGGGATATTAACATGATTTTAAGTTATTTAAATGAATCATTTATCGTATGGTATGAAGAAAATTTTAAATCAAAACCTGATAAACTTTTTGAACTTGATGAAATAAATAACCTTATTAAATTTCCGCTGAAAATTAAATTTTGTACTCCTCATCTTCGTTCATTGTTGGGGATATTAAATTTTGAAAAAGATGTTGGGGATGTTTTGTATTCTGACACTGGTTCCAATTTCATTTTAATCAAATGTGATAAAGTTAATACCCCAATGAGATTTTCACATCAAACATTAGACCCTAACTCTTACCCATCAATACAAAACATTTTATCCATCAACTTAAACACATTTTCTTTATCATATCCGTTTCAATTATCCGGGAATTCATTTATTCTTCATTCAAAAGATTTATCAAATATTAAATTTAGAATAACTGACCTATTTGATTGTGATTTAGAATTTATGAATGAAATATTATGGCAATTTCAAATAGAAAAAATAGCTGATGAGATAACGGATTAAATATTTATTTTTAAATCATAATAAATGATTAAACAACAGCAACCACAGCAACTTAAGGCGCAAAACACCCAGGTCCTTCAGACCATTACATACGCCATATATGCATATAATTCAAAGACGGCAGAACAAACGCAAAGGTTGAAATATGGAGATTTGGAGATAGTATTGAAAAATGAACATTTCGAATTCGTTTGCAAAGGTGGTGCAGTGATATCAAATATAAAAGAAATTTATTTATAAAAGAAAAATAAAGGAATAACGGATGATATAACATCAATTCCACAGAAGAACAGAGATATTTACGCATTAAATGCATTTCCTAAAGTTTTTGAAGATTGGAAGATTTAATTTAATGAGGAATTCATAGAAGGTTTCTAAATGACATAATGAAGAGGGCGGATAAGGAATATGTGGATAGTGAGTTAAATAAGAAGGCAAATTTGGTTTATGTTGATGAAAAAGATAATGAAATTAAAGAAAGGTTGAATGGTATCATGAATGGACATTTGAGACTTTTAAGTTAAAGCTGATACAGAATGGGTTTCAGGATGTTTAGACCTTAAAACAGATAAAACTTATGTTGATGAAAATTATGCAAAGAAGTCGGAAGTAAATGATGTGATTACAAGCATGAAAATGAAATACTTCAAACATTATATCCTGTTGGTTCTATTATACGTCAATGAACTCAACAAATCCAGCAAGTGTTTTAGGTTTTGGTACGTGGAAGCAGATTGTAGATAATTTTATACTGTGCTAGATATTCAAAGCAAACAGGAGGTTCGAAGAAAATTAAAGAAGCAAACCTTCCACCACACACTCATACAGGAACTACAAACACAACAGGTAATCATTCACATTCAATAACAAAAAGAGGTTATATAAATCTTGCAGCGGGTTCGGATAGATGGGGAATGAATAGATATGATATCACAACTGACCCAGTAGATTCAAGCACAGGTATTTTCTGTGGAACCGCAGGTAATCATTCACACACTTTCACAACAAATCCAACAGGCTCGGGTAAAGATTACATGGCACCATTTGTGACTGTATTCGCATGGTACCGCGTTCATTGAATGTGCTTGAGCCCAGACTTTTGGGTCAAGGCTTACCGAATGAACTAAATATATTTTATGTCTGTAATTAATTAGGTAATGAAGTAATGGATGAACTGCAGAAATAAATGTTTACGTTAATGGTTTCAGGTTATTCAATAATTAATTATTTTTGAAGAACTGAAGGTGTCACTATGTCACCATGTGTCACTCGGTTAATTAACTTCTCTGAAAAAATGAGACAACATGACATTTTGACAACAACACAGGAAATAAATGTTTACGTTTATGTTTACGTTAATGGTTTCATCGTAAATGATTTGTCAAGACTTATGAAGGAGGCGTTGAAGATGTTATACCATCTAAGAACTTGAGAGAGTCGAAGCCAACACATCTGGGACCATTAGAGCGGGAGTACTGGAAAGATAAAAATATGCCAGAAAGAATAAGAAAATTCTTCTAAACTTTTTCATTAGATGTAAATCAGACATGAACGAGAACAGTCATGATATCATTAATGGTACCATTTATTTACACCAAAAAATAATGTTTATGTTAGCATGTTAGATCTAACACGTTTTCTAACCACTTTTCTAACCTCATTTCTACCCTCAAGATTTACAAACGTTTAACGTGATATACGTTATGAATTTTCATGAATTTTATATATTAATGTTTTCGTTAAGCCACTTTGTGCCGTCAGTCAGTCAGTCAGTTTAGGAAAGACTTTAGAAAGTTGTTGGAAAATAAGTCCTGGGAAGAGTATTATAAGGCATTTTGTGAAGAATATAGCAACCGTCTGAATTCCGACGGATGTTTTTTTATACAAAATTCATGCAGGAAATTCTTGAGTTTTGGTTGAAAGAATACGGTCGAGCCACTTTTGGCTCCACCTCAAAACAAGCATTTTATGAGCTTACTAAGGGCGTTATAAATGAATTCAAAGGTATTTACATACATCCTGACCTCGTTCATTTTGTTGCTGAATTCAGCAAAAATAATGTTTAGGGTAGATGGTTAGATCTAACCTCATTTCTACCCTCATGAATTTTCATGAATTTCCTTAAGACAGAAGAAATAAAGTTAGTTTTATTTTTATTTTTTTATTTTGTATAAAAGATATGATTTCAACAATCGGCACAACAACAATTCAAGCCACGAACGGCGGGACTCTGTCCACAACTACGGCACCAAATTCATTAATCATGAATCCTACGTCAATGTTGGTAGAGATGAAAAACTTCATTCCTTCTTCATATACTTTTGAAACAGAAATACAAAGAATTAAGCAAGAACTTTTAACAAGTAATTTAGACTGTAGTGCGAAAGATGAAACAAATGGAGAGGAGCTATATGAAATGCAAGATATCATAGACCATTTGCCTAAATTACCGGAAGTTCAGCAACAAAAACTAACTATTCCTGAATTCTATGAAATTGAAGTTAAAGTTACTGATTCAGTAGAAATAAAGAAGTTCATACGTAAAGTAAATTATGAATTCCTTGGTTTTCATTGCAACCATAAAGTTATGAACAAAGATTGCGACATGGTTTATAAAAACATTTCTGACATATATAAATCTGAGGAGTTTAAGACTTACGACAACTTTGTTTCATTAGTTGCTGAATGTGTATGGCAGATAAGAGATAAAGACAGAAGAGGCAAAGTATGGAACGAACAAATAAAACCAACAACTTTTGAGTTAAAGAAAGCCATTGATGCTTTAGTTATTTTAGCTGGTAATGTTTCAATGTATAACGCAAAAATGAATCCGCAATGTTCAAAATGTAAAGCAGCAATGAGGAAATATAACTACTCACTAAAAGAGATAGAAAGAATGAGAAACGATTACGCAGACTTAAAGAAAGAAGTAGAGAAACCAGCAGAAGATAAAATGGACATGTTGACATTTCTTAATAAAAACTATTCAACAGCTGATGATTTCCTTTTATCTGATGTCAAGAAGAAGTATAAAGAAACTTTCGACATTGTTAAAATTTTTGATATATTAACTGAAGAAATAGAAGCTACAAAAATATTTAAAATTTCACGAATTCATAACGTATATCACGTTAAACGTTTGTAAATCTTGAGGGTAGAAATGAGGTTAGATCTAACCATCTACCCTAAACATTATTTTTGTCTGAAAAATGACCAAATTTCATGAATTTCATTAGTTAGAAAAATAACGCTAATTTTTTCTAAGAAAATTTTTTATTTTGTATGTAAAGACCGTAATGTCAAACATTGAGTTTGAAACAGTTAGAAAGATTGACAATGACACCAAAGTGGTTAGAATAGGTGATTTAAACGTAAGATACTCAAAGAAATACAACAAATATTCTTTGTCAGACATTATAACACCATCTGGAAAGAAAACAAAGGACTGGGTTAGAATTGCTTCTACTCAGAAAATTTTGACAAGAAATCCTGAGCTTATGATATCAGTAGCATTTCATGGAACAAGAGCATATCTTATAGACAAAAGTCTTATACCAATAGTTTTGTTATGGTTAGACCCAGTTGTTGGATATAACTTCATAACTTATGGTTCATTCGACTCTGAACGTTGCAGTGAAGGCTTACTTTACATCGTTCAGAAACCGAAGGACTTCAATACAAAGAGATATAAGATAGGAAGAACATATAATATAACTCAAAGATATGACAGTACAGTCAATAGAGTCAAGGTTGTGTTCGTTAATGATATGAGAGCTGCTGAAACAGAACTGCTTGAAGTTTTTGAGAAAATGTATGGTGCTCCCATGAAAGGTAAAGAAACGTTTGAAGTAGATGAGATAGATAAAGCTATAAAATTATTTGACGAAGTTGCTGAAAAATACATGTAAAGCGTTTATTTTTGGTCTTTTGTGAAAGTCAGAAAATAAAGTTAGTTTTAAAATTATTTTTATTTTGTATGAAATGACAGTAATGTCAACATCAGAGAACACAACAACTGCTATCGTTCATGAAGCCATAAATGAAGAATACGAGTACATACAGTATAACAAACAATTGAGACTCATTCGTTCGGTCAAAGATGACATGTACCAAATGCAAAGTATAATGAATGCTCTTCGTTCTACAAAGCAAGCATATCATTGGTTTGAAAACCAACAGACAAAAGAACTTTTAGAAGAATTTCCTCATATGATTGCTTCCCTCGGAAAACCGAGAGAAGAGATTCCGTATGAAAATCGCAAGAGGGTAGAAATGAGGTTAGAAATGAGGTTAGATCTACCCTTCTACCCTAAAATATATTTTGGGTCATTTACACTCATTACGATGAAATCATGACAAAGCATATACGTTCATGTTTGACAAAACATTTATGTTCATGTTTGACATAGAGTTTACGATGAAGAAATCATGACAAAACATATACGATAAAATACCTTCCTCCTGTGTTGTTGTCAAAATGTCATGTTGTCTCATTTTTTTAAAGAAGTTAATTAACCTGGTGACCTGGTGACCTGGTGACACCTTCAGTTCTTCAAAAATAATTCATAAGTGCCTTCCTCATTAATCCTGCTGTGTTGTCAAAATGTCATGTTGTCTCATTTTTTTAAAGAAGTTAATTAACCTGGTGACCTGGTGACCTGGTGACACCTTCAGTTCTTCAAAAATAATTAATTATTGAATAACCTAAAAACCATGAGACTTTGTCTCCGGACTCTTTGAGTCACTTAACGATAAAATAACTGATAACAAATTTTTATTTTTATCATAAATGGATACCCCACAAGCTCAAAATTTACCACGAATCATAACAAGGGAGGAAATGATAAAAATGATGCGAGAACTTGCTAAAAATAACAAACCACTAAAACTGAGAAAATGTGGTTATGCAGTAATGATGGAAAGAGAGATGTTGTCGAAGAGGAATAAAAATTAAATTTGGATAGAGTTTAAAAATTCATCTTTATTAAATTCATCTCTTCCAATCAATTTATTTATTCTATTAAATTCTTTTATTTTTGCTTCACTCAGTTTAATGATTGAACGATAAGTTTCTAATTTTTCGATTATTTCTTTATCGTTTTCAATTACTTTAGTTTTATGGGCATCAACCCCATCACATTGTGGCTTCTTTTTGTAATAGCATATTTTTGATTTAATTCTGTTTAGTTTCTTTTTATATTCATCGTCTGGACTCTGAATCTTAATTAAATCAGGACTCTTGGCTGCTTTGTTGTCACTCATTTCTTACGAAATAAAAAAAAATTAAATATTATTTAAATATAAAGGAGTAATAAAATAAATCGGAATTTCTATTAATTTATTGTCAACTTCAACTAATGCATTGCCGTTAATATATCTAACAAATTCAGCTATTGTGTCAAATCTTCGTCTTCTTTTTGTCATTGATTTATCAGTTTTTCCATAATCGAGATGAATTAAAACTTTATCCCCTTGTTTAAAATTCATGAGCCCCGAATTAATTTGTTCACGTTTAACATCATTCAACCTTTCCATTTGCTGTCTAATATATTCCCATTCTTTTGAAATATCATTTTTCATTTCCACTGGTTTCATGTTTATAGTTCTATGCCATATATTATTGTAATAATATACTAACTGCTGTATGATGGAGTCATGATTTCCATCCCAGTATATCTGACCGTTAACCCCTAACGCATCTCTAAGAGTTCTCATTACCGCATCAACTATTTTTATGAAACGTATATGGAGAGGATGAAAAGAAAAAATTAATTTGTGGGAAATAATGAGTCATAGTTGCCTGAAATCCTTTATCACCATCACCCCTGATATTATCTACTCTTGATCTTAAGGAATAGCTCTTTTGTTTCCTGTTCTGTTTTCCCTTTCACCGGAATGCAATATAAATATCTAGTGTTAATGTTAATGGCAAATAAATAAGTAACGTTTCTTTGAATATTCCAGATGATCGATTTCGTATGAATATGGATATGGTGCAAATGAAGGGCGACTAAATTTTTCCTTTAACGGTTGAATTTTTGGGTCAGTTGGTTTATTTAATATCTTGAAATGCTTTTTAAAATCTTTTTGCTTCTTTAATGTTGAAATGGATATAAAGTGAATGATGAAGGATTAACTGAAGGAGGAGGCGGTACTGTCGTTTTGGTTGTTGCAAGTGGTTTAATTTTATCTGCTTTGATTTTGAATGATGAAGTTTTAGTTGTTGATTTTCCTTTCATTAATTCTGGTTTCTATTCATAAATATGCTGTATATAAAGGTTGATATACTTTCCCGCTTCGAGTTTTATGAATTCCAAAAGTTGATCTTCATTTAAAAGTCGGGCTGAATATGGTTTAACTAATGAATCATAAATTAAAGCTTGTGCTTCATTTATGGTCTGAAGGACCTGGGCGTTTTGTTCCTTTAGCTGTTGAACATTTGGTTTTTGTGGCTCAGGATTATATAAATTATATAATTCATCAATATCTTCTTCTGTTAATACTTTATTTTTGAAATCTTTCAACTGTTTAAGTTGTGATTTAGTTTTTCCCTTTGTATATTCATTATTTTTAATTTTGTCTTTAATTTCAGAAATTATTTTATTATGATATTTCAAAATTTCATTTTTATAATATGGATAATAATAATCCATATCATCACCCGTTATATTGTTATCATATTTTTGGAGATATGATTTTAATTCATAATAATTAAGAAAATTTTGATTAAGTACTAAATCATCAATTAAATTTTTTAAATCTACGCTATTCATTTATATAAAAATAAAATAAGTGTTTTAAGGGTGCCCGCCTCTTTGAATCATAGTATCAAAGCCATCATTAACGGTTCCTTTTGTCTCTTCTGTGGCATTTCATTAAAAATAAAATTTTAAATTGTATTAAATAAATGGCATACAACATCCATTTTCACAACATACAGCCTTAGTGTGTGCTCCTGTTAATGCAGTCTTACCAATTGTTAAGCGAGTCATTGACCCGTTTTTAAGTTGTAAATTAATATTCTGACCATCGAAAATAACTTTATCATTTATTATATCCAAATAATTTTTAGGTGTTAATTGCTTATTTTGTCGTAAACTAACACCTTTCATTTTTTGTGCAATCTTTTTAAAATCACCCCCATCAATTGAACCGTTGAATGAAGTATAACACTTAGGACATAAAGCAACCATGTTATCACCTTGTTTCTCAATTGCTAAACCCAATAATTTCTTCTCATGTGCTTTTTCTTCAGCTTTATTCTTTAATTTAGGTTTAAATTTCTCATCAAAACAGAAGAAATCAAAAGGTGCGAATTTGAAAATGTTTTTATCATAAAATTGTTTATCGGTAACAATTGCTTGAAATGCTTGAGTGTTAGGAAGATTTGGGTCGCCAGCGATTGCCCAATAAGATGAATCAGTATCACCTTCAATGAAATGAAAACGATTAACATTCATGCATTTATACATAAAATCATAAATGAAAACCAAATACCAGTATTTTGCGTTATCTAAAGTGAAGAATGCCTCTTGTAAACATGTATCACATCTATAAAATCTATCTTTGAGCATCACTTGATATGTATCTTCACCTATTTCTCTTATGTTTTTAAACTTATTTGACATACATGCAACGCGTGCCTTCTGTGCATTCATTATTTTAGTCTTTGCGTAATTTTGTGTATTCATTGCATCGTAACCATATGATCCATTAAGTGAAATCTTGCAAAATAAACTTTTTCCTTTATTTCCTTCTAATTCAGCCTTTTGTCTTTCGTTCATAAATTTGTTCGCAAATTCATTAAAACAAGTGTTTTTAGTAAATGTTAAAATTGATTGAATATCATCGATGATAAAATGAAATCTGTCGATTAGATACCAAAGATAATAAGAAGAAAATGGTTGATATTGGTTGTGTGTTGATGCTAACTGAGTTAATTTCCTCTGTTTCTGGTCAACTGGTAGATTGTTTGATTTCATGTAATTATACATAAAACTGCCAATTGTTTTTTCATCTGTGATAATATCTAAGTTTCTTATTATCGGTAAAAAGTTTATGTAATCATTAATGTATTTTTCATCAATGTGACCCTTTACTTCAGCCACGAATAAAGTATTTTTCTTCTTAATTATTCCCAGTGCTTTTGCTTTCTTTGTTGCTGTATCACAAATGATAACACCATTCAATCTTCCCGGCATATACATTTTATGGTCAGTATATTGAATGAAATCATGAGGATTAGATGAAAATGATGAAGGATATAATGAATTAAAATCAACACCAACGAAATGAGTCATGATGTTGGTGGTGTCCTCATTTGATACAGTTTTAGTTTCTGGATTATATGAAAGTTTATTAATGTGCGTGATTCCTTTAAGATTTACTCTATGTTGAACATTTGATAAACCACCAGTAATTCCATTACGGAGAATGTGATAAGCTTCAACTGAATCTAAAGTCATTGGTAAATTATTTTTTAATGCATAATTTCTTAAATTGATTCTTAAACGTTGAACATCTTCATCTTTATTTGATTTTACGACATTGCAATAACAACACATTAACTGACAATTTTCTTTGGTATGTGGTTTTTCATTATCGATTCTATCCAATGTTGGTTTATTTGCATATGTAAACGCTTTACCACACATTTTGCATTTAGATGAAAGGATTAAATCGTGATAGTATTGAAAATCATCCATTGAAACATTATTTTTAGTATCTCTTTCTGCTTTTTCATCTTGTTTCTTATATGATTCAATTTTATATTTCCAATACTTTTTCGTTAATTCAAAACTTGATTCTATCTCTTCCTCAGGATATTTTTCATTAGGATTAAAGTCTTTATATGCTAAAGCGTAACGAATCATTGAAGCATTCGATGATAAAGAAAGATTATGAAGCATATCAATTTATAAACAAATGTTTCTTCAATAATTTTATCGATTGGGTCAATCATAATTTCAACATCTTTATTGCAATAATGAATAAAATATTCTAATCTATTCTTAAAGTTTTTAGCATCATTGAGATATATTTGATAATCACTATCTGATATAGTTTCTTGAGTTAATGCTGAATAAAATGAATCTTGAGTGAATGGTTCCACTTTATATAATTCTTCTTCGTAATTTTCCCATGTGATGAATTGATAAGGGAAAAAGGATTTAACACGTGATTTATTGTTTCCGAAATCTTGAGTGAATTGGTCTAATGTCCCACCCGCTATATAATTTCTGATGTCAATAAATCTCAATTCATATGGAACGTTTGTTTTCTTTACAATGATTTGCTTAAATTGTGAAGATGAACCCAGCATTGATTTTATTTTCCATTTTGCAGTGTTTAAATCACGAAGAATTAAATTTAAATCAAACTTTCCCGAATTAAAACCTATGATATTCACTTTATTGAATTCCTCATCTAGAAGTTCTTTAAATGCTTCCTTCTGTTTTTCATTTAATGTATGGACAAAGTCCCCGCCGTTTGCGGACTTCATTAATTCTTCATATTGTTCAATATTTGATTTAGCAACTAATGAACAGGTTGAAAATAAAAACTCAATCCAATCAGAAATAAAAGAATCACTCGAAGTTAAGCAAAAATTCCTCGTATACGTTTTATCATTTAATTTAACCGTTGATGATACCATGAATGGTTTTAAGTAAGCGTTCAAAGTTGCACACTCAGAAAGTTGTAATTCTTCTTTAGTCTCTAATGTTTCGAAGTCAAAAGTAATATAATATCTTGTCGGTTGATAATATTCCTGCAAATTATGAGCTAATAACCACTGATATATCTTCTGTTTCGTAATATGTGGTGCATATGGTTGCTGTGTCTTTTGCAACTGAACGTCTTGAATTAATCTTCCATTATTTTCTTTACATTTCTCACAATGCTTTAAAAATCTTCTTTGGTTTTTCCTTTCTGGATCATCACGGATAGAATAAACTTCTTCTTTACAATATGGACAAACTCTATAGCCGGTGAGTGCTTCAACGTCTGTTATTCTGTCAGCGTGAAGTTTTCCACATGGACTCTGTGTTAATAAAATATTTACTGTTTCAAATTCTGGATCTATCATTATTGATTCCACTAATGGAAAGTCTACCTTATTTATGTCCACGTCTTCTGGTTGAAGATCACAATAATAGAAATCAATATTAACATTTAACATTCTCGCTAATCTCTCACTTTCTGATGAAATGTCAAACCCTTCATATGCATCTATTGCTTCATTTAAATAGCTTCTACGAGTTTTAGGATTAACACCATCAGGAATGTTATAGAAGCGTTTAAATAACCTTCTACCTTCTGCTCTAATTTGATTATCATTCATTTTAGCTGTTCCGTTTTTGTTCATTTATGTAAGAATAAAAATAAATAAAAATAAAGTTTATTTTTTAAAACCCATAAAATGAATTAAGAACACATAAATTTTTATCATCTGCGACGTGACGAATACATTTTAATTTACTCAAGAATGTGTACCCTGATACATTAAATCTAATTCCTGTCTTATTTAATTTCACAACTTTGAAAAGGAATGTATGAATAGCTATAAAATGATGAGAAGATGTTTTATGGGTTGCTTCCATTTTTTCTGAAATAAATGAATAAATATAATGCTTATACGTTTTCATATCTTTTATGTTCTTAATAACGAATGGTATAGACCTTTCCACTTCATCTTCCTTCGGTGCTGTTCTTTCATATGAAACATTATTAGTATCTTCAACAATGAAACCACAATCACACAAAATTTTATATGTTCCAATGGTTTCTTTTGATATTTTATCTAATAAATCAAAAACTTTATCAACACCTGTGCATTTATTTAAATAATAATTTGTGTAAATATCATGATCTTCTTTCTTAATCGTATTAGTTGCATATGTCACGTTTTTAAGAGCTTTTTTGAATTTCTCAGAATCGAGAGGGGGTGAAAGTAAGATACAAGGGTATTCTTCATTATCAATAAATTGTAACTTATGTTTACGAATAAATTTAGTACCTTCTTCTGAAAGTGTTTCATCTATTTCGCCATCTAATAAATTTTGTGTTGATTCTGAGACATAATTTTTATATCTTTCTTCATGAGATTTCTGAACTGCTGATTCTGAAGCTGGGATATTCATTAAACCCTCTACTTCATTTTCATTATATTTTTCAACTTCTCTTAATTCCTTAATTTTTTCATCTATTTCATCTCTTATTTTTTCCAGTTTTTCAATTTCATTGTATTCATCATCATCTTTAATCCGTTCTTCATAATATTCAGGGAAAACATCAGGTTCTTTAGGTTTTTCTTCTTTAGATGTGGGATATAAGAAATTTATAACATCATCTTTATTCATTTTTCCATCATAATCTAAATCATTTAATAACTCGGCAAATTTTTGACAATTTCTTAAATAATATTTACTAACTTCATAACACATCTCATCTAATATATCCTTTATTTCCTCGTTTGTGAATCCTAATTTTTTAACGTTGTTAGTTTTGACGCTCATTTCATACGAAATAAAAAATAAAAAAATAAACTTTAAAAAGAATTTGATGAGTTCAACATTGAACTTTAAGAAACTAATGAAAATGTTCAACAAAAAATAAACGTTGTTAAACCAATTACTGAAATAAAATTTTTTTCATCTGTTGAAGAATTTAATGACTATTATGCTAACAATAAAAAATTATTTGAAGAATTGACAACGTGCAAATTGAATAAAATGTTTAAAGTTGATGGATTCAAAATTTCAAAAATAAAAGGGGTGATTAGTTTGAAATCTATTCCTCAATCAAGAATCACCTCATTAATGAAAATAGATGATTTAACAAAAAGAATAGAAGAGATTGAAGAAAGAATGAATCAAATAATTGATTTCATAAATTCAAATAATCATTTATTTCTTAAAGTTCAATGTTGAACTCATCAAATTCTTTTTAAAGTTTATTTTTTATTTTTTATTTCATTATGGTAGTGAATCTTTCATTCATGAAAATAATTATTTTAAAATTAATGTTAATTTTTTAATGATTTATAAATAAATATATTTTAATGCATCGTCTATATATATATGTAACAAAAAAAGTCACACAACCCATCCTATCCTACTACTTGAAATCCAGAATTACCAAGAACTCTTAAATATGAGAGATTCAAGGATTGATGAATTCAAAAACATCATGAACAGTCCAGAGCAAACTGGTGCTACTCGTATTAATGAGCTTGTCCAAGAAAATACTCATTTAAAGATAAATATCAACAATTTGAGCGATCAAAAGAAGTAATCCGATGAATTAAGAGGCTTGGAATTCAAGTGGCGAGGAATGGTAATTTTTGAGCGCTAAAATTACAAATACCCTCAATAATTCAAAACCAGTCTACTTAGTTTTTGTGGTGGCCTTATAAATAAATGATTTCGCTTTATCTTGATTTTTATTAAACAAATAAAACAAGACAATTCATGGTAAAAACAAAATATTGAAAAGCATAGATGATGAAGTTGTTGTTGACAATATTGGAAGGTTTGCAAACTACTCCATTTCTTTCGAGAGTGAATGGATCTGATGGTTGGATTCGGATGTAGCCATTTCCGGAGTGGCCGGTGACAATCTGGTTTTGTGGTGATTTGAAAGCTTTGTCACCACCAAGCAAAACGATATTATACAGGTCAGGAGAAGCATAGCTGCTTCCGCCACCACCACCTGCTACATCTGCACCACCACCACCGCCGAAATAACCACTTCCACCACCCCCTGCCGATCCCTCTGCACTGCATTCAGCATCACCTCCTTTCAAATATTTTCCTATCGTCGCATTTATTGCATTATAGCCATATGTACCTACATAAATTCCGCCATCCCCTGGACGAGATGATGTTGCTCCTTTACCTCGAACCTTTTTGGCATCTTCTGGTTCCATATGTGTTGCATCACCAAGTGCGTCTCCTGCATATGGACCTCCAACTCCGCCAAAGAACTCACTTGAATAGTAGCCTGAACCACCTCCTGCACCAGATATCAAGAGAATATGCTTGCCATATGGATCAGTAGATATAAATGTAGCAGATCCGCCTGTGCAGGATGGAATATTTTTACAGGCTTTATTTTTGCCACCTTCAAATTGCTCAGTGGTAAAATTTTCGTTTCCGCACTTTCCTTTTGCTCCAACATAAGCATAAAGCGTAGTTTGTGCATCAACTTTCAAAATTGCTTCTGAGTATGCACCAAGACCAGCTGAGGGGTTGAAGGAACCACCTTGGGCACCCCATATCATGAAAAGCCATGTTCCTTTTGGAAGTATTACCTGTGTAATTTTGTTTACAGTTGTAAAATTTATTGAAGACAATAAATATTAGCGTTGAAGGTTCATAATATTAATTAATCTGATTTTAAATTGAAGCACACGCAGTTTAAATTTAATGATATGATGCTACTTTGAACATACTTATATATTGTTGCATAAAAATTGCCGATTTTGAATTGAATTTAGTGATTACATTTGTAATTTGATTAATATAAACGAAATAAAGTTAGTTAACTGTAATATGCAAGGAGTATATGGTACTTTGAAACTATTTCATCAAAAAATGAGTTCCATTCTGTGATACTAAAGTACTTTTCGGCATAAAAAAGAAATTCTGAGTCTATTGAAAAATTGAATAATTTTTATACATAATTGTAAGTAATATTTAGTTGATTTGAAATTTTGAATTTTACTTTTTTTTCCGGTAGTATTCTTCTTTTTTATGCCGAATAACCTTAATTTTGCCTGGGTGAATTTAAAGGTAGACCAGCAAAATTTTTACCAATAATTTTTGATTTTGGCTATGGATACTTACTATATGGGGGATGGATATTTAATGTGCGAAGTATCGCATGAAAGTTATCGGGCCGATTTTGAGATATTATTATTAAAAATTATATTCAATATCTTGCTCACTAAATAAGTACCATAAGATTTTTTTAAAAAAATTGCGAAATAACGTATTTTTGCTGGTCTACCTTTGAAAAATTTGACTCCATGATATAAGAATCAGTATTATTCAGAGATTTCTAGATTTCTGTAAAGATGCAATTCTACAAGACAATAGCAGGGCTTTTGCAAAGCAATATTACAATAATTTGCATTTCCTCGTAGATATTTCTGAAAATTAATACATGAATTGAATGTTTGAGAACATAGAATTTCCTTTTAATGTCATATTAGATATTGTGATAGTAACTGATTTGAAAATATTACTAATAATAATTTATTAATACAAACAAAAATAGAATACAATACAATAAAATCTAAGTTCTATTAGCAAAATCGCAGTCAAGCCAATATTCCTTGACATCGCATTCCAGAGATACAAGAGATGATTCGCATGTTGATGAATCAAATAATTCACCTTTGTTGAACAAGATTTCCAAAGTGAAAACTAAATGGAAGTAGTTGAAACAAGCTTCTTGAGCATTCTTAATTGATAAGTTGTGAGTCATCATCATTAAATATCTTTGAGCATCAGAAACAGTTGTTCTCAGCTTCAAATCATCAGGATTTTCTTTACTTATTGCTTCAAATCTATTTACGCATAAATTAATCAATTCATGTTTTTCTTCCCATTCTTTCTTTATTGCTTCAAGTAATTCATCATTTGCAGACTCCATTTCAATATCTTCATCATGTAAAAAGTTATAAGAACCATTAAGAAATTCAGTTGCGAAATCTTCTTTTGTAACTTCTCTTCTTTTAATTGATTTCGTAACTGTTGCTCTGAAGAAGTTATTTGTGTCTTCGTGAGAAGCCTTAGGAATCAAATCCTTCATCAAATAAAGGAATTCCGCGTGAGAAATTCTTGGCAAAATTCTTGTTTCGCAGAGTAATTCGTACATTCTATCAATTTTATCTCTTTGATATTCTTCGACCATTACAGTCAAAATATCAGACATTGAGACATATCTTTTCATTGCTTCCAAGTGTATTGCAGGTCTTGCAACAGCCAATGTCATTAGCCTTGGATACAATCGATCATTGTATCTGTATTTCCACCATTTACGGAGTGCTGGTTCCAATTGATCTTGTGACAAATAAAATTCTGTTGTTTCTTCAGCACCTGTTTCGTTTTTGATGGAAACAACTGCACCTATCTTCATTATAAAGTCTCTACAAATCAACATGAAACATAATTGTTCAACATCAATTTCTCCATTCAATGCGTCATTGAACAATTTTATTTCTTGATTAGAATTTGCGAATTTTGTTGATGTATTGTGGATATCCCAACAATACTGGTACGCAATAAAATCAAGTTTATTGTGTTGTTGAGCAAACTCTATAATGAACTCATCCAAGTTTTTCAATGGCTGGTGTTTGTCCAAACAAATCATGTCTTTCTGGAATTTCTCGTCATAAATAATTCTGAGATTTTTAATGATCCATGACATGTCTTGTGGATCTCTTTGGGAATAATCAGCAGGAATAAGCTTGGTAAACTTTGAATTAATAACAACACGTGTTGATGGCCTTGTTTGTGGCTTTGAACCACTGGTTGTCGGTGCTTTTGGCAAAGTTTGGATTGAAATTGAAATTTTCGGATTTTTCTTCACAGCGTTTGAAATTGCTTGTGAAACAATTCGACTTGAAAACACTTTGAGTATGTTCTCGTTTGGCTTGTCTAACAGGAATTCTCCTTTTTCACCTGTTTCTATATCGTCTTTTGACATTTGGAATAAATTTGCGTTTCTATAAATGTAATCTTTCAACATCGTCAAATCTTCAAATGTATTTATAGTAATTCCACCTTCTACAAGGCCGGCAGTTGTAATGGCTTTGAAATCGTTATCTTCTAATAAAACTTCATTTTGTGCTGAACTTTGCGCTGTCACTTTTTTGGAACTTTTATTTGATTTTGGTAAAGCTTCTGCTTGTGTTGCAACATCGATATGTTTAATTAGATTTCTTTGTATCCCTAATGCTTTCTCCATTTCAACAACTTCTGCTGCCATTGTCCTGATTCTTGTTCTTTTTTTGTTAATTATATCTGATTCTTCTGAAAGTCGTTCTTTTAACTCGTTTTGGGTTGTTAAAAGCTCTTTAAGCTTCTCAGCAACAGTAACAGTATCTGATGTGCACTTGGCAGAGGTCTCATCGAGAGTTCTGAGCTCTTGATTTAATTTAATTAGTTCTTGATTCTTTTCTGAGATCTTTGAATCAATTTTTATACCGGCAGCTTTAAGATTATCAACTTCTTTACCTGTAACTGTTAACGATTGGTTCAATCCGTCGAGATGTTTCACTAATAACTGATAATCCGTTTTTAAGTCGCCCAATATGCCAGTTAGTTCTTCTCGTTTGGTCTTCATTGGACTGATTTTGTCCTTTAAGTATTGTGAAACAGATTTGTTTTCTTCAATTTTATCTTTAACTTTTTGTAGCTCTGAATCAAAGCGAGACATAAGCTGAGGTACGTATTTTGAAACCGATGAAAAGAAAAGTCTGCATTTATCTAGTACTCTTCCTTCTGCTGAGCATTCAATGAAATATTGACGAATAACTTCTAAAAAAATTGTTTCATAAATCTGATGCTGGTGTACTGGATCATCAGATTTATCGTTTTCAAGCAATTTTTGAAGCAATTCTGTAAGTTGAGCAAAATTCGAAGATGCAGGTGGAGCTGTCGTCGGCATTACAGTTCTATAAAAGACATTTGGTGTATTATCGACTAATTCGATATCTGGTGAAGTAGTTTCTGTATTTGATTGCAATTCATCTATTATACTTTTATCTAACGAAATTTCCGAACTTTGTGTTTTAACTAATGGAGGCATAGCTGGCTTTGTAGCGAAATTAGATGATTTCGAACGGGTTTTCTCATGACTTGTTGTTGCAAACGTTTGATTTAGATGAGAATTAATTCTCATGCCGACTCTTGATGGAATCGCACGAGAACCGATAGCGGTTGATGGTGGATTAACTTCCTCTGCAGTCCTTTGAAGTTTTACAGATTGCCTGAAAACGCTACCAAGGAGAGGAAAATGCCGCATTTTTCTGAGAGAAGAAGAAAAAAACGTGTTAAAATTTTAGAAAATAATTATTCAATTGGGATACAAAATATGGATTAACCGTATACATTACATTTAGTGTTAAGTTTTTTCCAGAAATTTCACCAGATTTCAAGATCGAATTTTATGAATTTATGAAAAACATCAAAAACAATAGAATATAATTTCATTTCTTGCAGGTTTATTTGATTTCATGCGTTGCCAGTATCAATATTCATTGATATAGAGTTTTTTTATATTCCATCATAAGTGTGATCCAGAAGAGAACAGCTCAGTATATGTTGCCCACATCTGCAATCATTACTTACATAGAACACAAGATTTTTCGTTTTGGGCATAGAACAAATAATACAATTCAAATATTGCCCAAAACAGTTTTACAAATGCCAATGCTTACGAGCAATTTTCATCTTATTCAAGTTTAAGAAAAAAAGTTCCATAGGGCCAGTAAATGATAAATAATGCAATTTTAGTGACATGAAGCCAAGTGAAGCCTTCAAATACCATAGTCAAGCTTCCAAAATGATTTGGGAGGTCAACTCCAATAATATTTATAGACCTCGATAAAAACAACAAAATTACTATCGAAGTTTGGTCAGAAGTTGCATCATTAAAGCTGATTTGAGATGGTTAATAAGCTAGAGCAGGTCTTGGTGAATTTCATTTTCATTAGATAAATTATCAAGGTTGTCAACTACAATATGATTATCTCTTTCTCCACACTTTGCACGAAGAGAATCATCCATTGATATCTCTTTCATGGATTTGAAAACAATTCTTTGAGCATTAAAATTCCAAAAAAAGTCAGAAATTCCATTATATCCATATAAAAAGATAAATTCGTAGAAAAATCTGTACCACATTGTAGTGAATACATCAAAAACCCAACTATCACCATAGATAGCTCTTTGTGTCATCCCATTGAGGTTAAAAGTATCATAAGAAGTTTCATGTTCAGTCAAACCTCTAACCTTGGCAACAGCCGCAGAATTAGCACGTTCCAGCTCTGCTCTCATGTTTTCTTTGTATATGTAATGAGGGCTGAATTTATAAAATACTTTCTCTTTTGAAATTTTTTCTGGAATACCATTTTCTTACCAGGTCGCGTATTGTATTGGCTCCATTGCAGAATGAAGTACATGTGCACCTTTATGCAAGTAAAATGAAATTCCCTTGGCTTGTGGTGTCGGCGGAATGTTGGCATTTTCAGTCATGATAGCTTTGAGCTCTTCTTTGGTCACTCGAATAGATTCGGATTCTTTAATGAATCTAGTGCAATCGCAGGTGTTTTCAGCTGAATCTTCATCAATTCCACAAAGTTTTGTTCTTGGTTTGAAAGGATCATGTGGCGCTGTAACACAACATGAACAGCATTTTTTAGCTTGAAGTGTATGATTTATCATTTGCTGTTCTTTGATAAGATCATAATAACTAACTTTAATTGCACATGGAGATATTCTGCTAGAAATGTATATATAGATTAAAGCTGTAATTCCACCTGACTTCAAAATCGCCAATGGAATAAGTGAATCAGGAAAATTAATTGAACAATAGATTGATGTGATAACTGCACTAAATACAACATTGATTGTGATATTTGTAATCCACGTACATTTTGGTACGTTTGTTTTTGTAATACATGATAAAATCCAAAATAAAATTGTAGGAATACAAAAAGCTGTAATAAATGCTAAAAATGAGTGCTCATTATTGCATATTTGATAAATTATTCGGGTAGAATCTTGTTCTTTACAACTAATGTCATTGCAGCAGATATAGTCAGGATCTAAGGAACTATTGTTGCACTTTTTTTCATAACTGTGCGCTACTAAAGAACCAAAAAGTAAGGTGAAAAACATTTAAAATAATTTTTTGATTGAAAATAATGATATGGCGAAATGATTACAATTAGGAGAAAATAAATAACACAAATAAAAATACACTTTGTTTTCAATGCACTCACAAAAATTTTGAATGGTACTTTTTTTGGATCTTACTTTAGAATTGGTTACTTGAATAAATGCTTCTCCTATACTAGCTGATTCACGCATGTTTAATTAGTCTATTATGCGGCATGTCACAAGGAAACTTTTAATTGCTTGAAGTCAATGATGTTTATTTATGACATTTATCTGATAGAATTATAGCTATCATTATAACCGCATTATGGTGCAAAATAAGAACGGTTTGCTAGAAGATAAATTTTGGTATTTTTTGAAGATTTACCATAATATATACTTTACACTAATATAATAAATCCTCCATATCATTAACATCTATATCAGATTTCTTCTGATAATAAATTTATTTCTTTGTTTTTATTCTATGCTAATTATGTAATCTTTCATATATATGATACAGTATGTATTGTAGATGCATTAACAAACAGTTAATTTTGTAGAAAACATCTCAAATCGCAATACTTGTTTCATGGAAGAAAAAGTGCGTCAAAATTTCTGAACTCATACGTTAAGAGCGTCAAAAAATATGTCGGTAAACCAACTTAGCAAAGGCGCAGTAAATGAAGCCTGCACTTCTGGTCAGATTAACGAAGGTGTTGTTCTTCAGATTGTACAAGTAGGAGACAAAAAGCCAAACTCTCAAAGAAGAATCGCATTAAGTGATGGCTCCTTCGTTGTCACAGGTGTTGTTTACGGTCATGCTGAAGACCTCTTCAATAACGATGAAGTCAAGGTCAACAGTATCATTGCTCTTACAAACTGCACATTTACATCGGCCAACGGCAAACATTCAGTTAATGTGAACGATTTTGATGTTATACAGCTTGATGTTCCAACTCAACTTGGCTCTCCAGTCAAATGGACTCCAAATGCAAAGGCAGAAAAGGAAACAAATACTCCAGCCCCATCTGCAAAAGCAGCTCCACCACCACCTCGCGCAGCTCCACATCCAACACGCAGTGTTGCTCAAGCCCACTTTGCCTCAATCAGTTCTCTCTCAGCATACATTTCTAATTTCACTATTTTGGCACGTGTTGTCAAGAAAGAGTTCAAGAACCTAGAGTCCAAGGGTCTTAAGATTCTCACTCTTATCCTTGCTGATAAGTCAGGCGATATCAAGGCAACGGCTTGGCGTGATCATGCAGAAAAATTCAATGAGCTCGTTGAAGAAAACCAAGTTTACGCAATAACTGGTGGAAAAGTCTCATTTGCTAAGAAACAATACAATCCTACAAAGCACGATTGTGAAATTACTTTTGATGGTAATACAAAATTCGAGCTTGTCAATAATGCTGATACAGAAGAGATTGGCAAGACAAAGTTCAACTTTGTTAAGATCTCAGAAATCGATAATCTTGCAAAAGATGCAACAGTCGATATAGTCGGTGTTGCAATTGATATCCAACCATCTCAGATGAAAAGACTTAAGACAGGCCGTGAAGTTAACCATCGTAGTATTGAAATTGCCGATGATTCAGATCGCAAGATTGAATTAAATCTTTGGGACAGAAACTGCGATCTTGTTCAAGAAGGTTCCAATCCAATCATTGTTCTTAAGGATGCTAAGATCGGTGAATTCAATGGAAGAAAGAATCTCACTGTTGGAACTTTAATTCAAGTTGATCCATCAGATATCCAAGAAGCCAACGATCTCCGCGAATGGTATTCAGGAAACCCATCATTAAGCTCCATCAAAGCATTGTCATCCACTGGCGGTGTTGATAATTCAAACAGAAGAACACCAATTGTCATGATTAAAACAATCATGGACGAAAACCTTGGTGGAAATGGTCATACAGACTACTTTGATGTTATTGCATCCATTTATAACATTACTCCACAGCGTTCATTCTTCTATCTTGCATGCCCGAATGAAAAGTGCTCATTCAAGGGTCTTAAAGATCGCGATGGCGGTTTGTTCTGTGAATCATGTGGAAATATGATTACAGATCCTGTTCCCCGCTACAATTACAAGATCGGAATTACAGATTTCACAGGAACAGTAATGTTTGTTCAAGTATTCGGCGGTGGCGAGAATATCGATAGAATTATGGGTATGAATGCCGCTGAATTCAAGAAAGAGCTTGAATCACTTGATGCTGAAGACAAAATTGCAGCAATGTTAGATAAAGTTACTAATAGGCTCAAGGGAAAGGAATTCATGTTCAGACTTAAAGCAAATGAAAATGTTTATAATGAAAAATCTACAATCAGATTTAATGTTGTTAATACATTCGAAGTTAAGTACGATACTGCTTCCAAGAGGTTACTTGAAGAAATTGCAAAATATTCCGAATAAAATCTAAATAAATTAATTTTTAATTAATAACTGAAAGATTATACTGCAAGACGAAGAGCAGTTTTCCCATTAATATCATTTTCATTGATATTTGCACCATGTGAAATAATAAGTTCGGCTGTGTCTTTACTATTATTCATTGCTGCATGATGAAGAGGGTTTCGTTCACCTTTGCCTTTTTCGTTGATATTTGCACCATGTGAAATAAGAAGTTCGGCTGTGTCTTTGCGATTATTCATTACTGCATGATGAAGAGGGGTTTGTCTATCTATGTCTTTTTCGTTGATATTTGCACCATGTGAAAAAAGAACTCCAGCTGTTTCTTTACTATTATTCATTGCTGCATAATGAAGAGGGGTTCGTTCACCTTTGTCTTTTTCGTTGATATTTGCACCATGTGAAATAAGAAGTTCGGCTGTGTCTTTGCTATTATTCATTGCTGCATAATGAAGAGGGGTTTGTCCATCTTGATTTTTAATATTGATGTCTTTAATTCTTGCAAAAAAATATTCTGAAAATGGTGGGATATTAAACAATGTTGAATGGATGAAACACTCGTTAAAATCTTTGATTTGGTCGAAATACACCAAAAATGATTCAAGATTATCATATGCTCCACACCATTCTAAATCGATCACTATATTGTGTTCATTCATCAAGAATGTAACAAAATCAATGTTGTGAGAAATAATTGTATATTTCATGCATTCTTTATTTGGTTTTTTAGATTTCAAACATTCGCTTATAATCTCTGGATTTCCTCCTAAAAATGATAGTTGTAGACATGAATCAGTTATTTCTGATTCACATTTTGTTCTTAAAAACTTGAAACAATCAACTGCTCCGTGGTAACAACATAATTCAAGTAATGAATATCCTTCTTTAGAATATGGATATAGCTTGCTTTTAAGTTTTTGATCTTCATCAAATTCATTTCTTTCTGTGAAATCTATTAAGTTTTTTATGTCATCATTCATAATTGCTCTGTAAATTGGATTTTCTGAATGAATATCTCTATGGTTTAGTTCTATTTCTTTGAAATTATCAGTTTTATCTAGTATAATATCATATTCTTTATGAAACAGGAAGTTAGAAATACTATTGATGCCGTGAACCTCTTTCACATTATTATCATCATATATAAGTTTCGCGAGTTTCAAGTATGATTTTGTATAGCGGTTATTATACAGAATCATATTTAAAACATCTCTTATAATAGTTTGTACATAATGCTTCTTTGAATCAATTAGTTCTGTTTTGATCATTTCGTAAATTGAGTTTATTTCGTCATCATTTTCCGTTTTTAACCTATACATTGCATTATATGAATCGATATAATATTTATAATCACTCCTCAATTCTCTGTATTCATTAGTATTAATGCCTTGATCAGACATTAAAAAATTTTAAGGCCTCTCTCCGGCCAAACAGTCTGTATCGTTATTCAGATCATATTTCTTCACTTTGAGGCGATTTTACCACAAACATTGCGTTTGGACTGCATTCTAGGCAAACAATCAGTATACAAAACATATTCCTTAGTTTATTTTGTAATCTAGATGTCTCTGACGGTTTCTCGCGTGTTAAGAACTGGCTGGCATATTAACTTTTTTTGACATAATCGTACTTTCCTATTTTTCCTTATATTATGAACATACATACTAATGTAGTATAAATTATTTACAAACTGTTGTTAGTTGACTTAACAAAGCATTGATTAGATAAAATACAAGGGTATCTAGGAAGAATGGCACAAGATTAGTGTTTATATCTTGCTGTTTTCAATATAGTTTATCAAAACCTCTCGAAATAAATGCGATAATTCTATTATCATCTATTTTTCTGAATAACGCTTACAAATTGTATATTTCCAAAAATGATTCCACGAAAATTTTGCCAAAGTTCTCAATTTTGAATTTATTGTCTTAACACGCCAGCCAGATCTTAACACATCAGACTGTCATAATGCTAAATATGAGCTAAAAATAAAGCATTATTCATTATTTATAATGCTACAAACCAATGTTAAATCAATAATAATAATTTTTGACATAAATGATAAGAGGATATATACTTCAAAAAATATCTTTTCCATTGAAAATGCTGAAATGAATCCAAGATATTGAGTTGTCCATCAATAATCGAAATTAAGAAATTTACCAATGTTAAATCAATAATAATAATTTTTGACATAAATGATAAGAGGATATATACTTCAAAAAATATCTTTTCAATTGAAAATGCTGAAATGAATCCAAGATATTGAGTTGTCCATCAATAATAAATCAAAAATCTCTTGAATGATCATTGAAGTCTATATAATTATGCTAGTCAAAACATTTACAATTGCTCTTTTGCAATTCCGATAAAGGATTGATACGGAGATGGACAAATTTCAAATCAGCGGTTACTCTTAGGTCAGAAGTATCATTGATGATTCTTACAAACAATTAAGGATGTTAAAACGAAATGACAAAAAGGCAAAAATCGAACTGAATTTTTAAAATTATTTCATTAGTTTGTAATTCTGTTGTATGATTGTTACATATTAAGTTCTGTCAAAATGTAAGCTATTGAATTTTTTGAGAGGGAAATAATCGTCGAGGAAGTAAAAAGTGACGCTTTAGGAAATATTATTAGAAATATGATAATAAATATATTTGGAAAAAATATGTTTTTTTCAAAAATTGAAATGTTCATAGAATATTTTGAAATATGTAGGGAATTGAATTCGGTAATATATGATAAACAGGATTTTTAAATTTCAAGGAAAAATAGCTTTTGTGAATACTTTTGAGAACTCTTCTCAAAGATCATGATTCAAATATATTAAGGAGCCAAAATATTAGAGATGAGTTCACAATCAAAATTTTACATTTTAATTATTTAGAAAAACGTATTAACCTCAATAAAAAAATATCTCAAAGATTAATAGTTAATTTAGGGTTTCCTAGCTATCTAGAGGGAATTGTTCCTTATGATGTATATATTTATAATGTATGCATCATAAGGAACAATTCCCTCCTTAAAACGAGAAAACTTGTTCAATTGTTTATCATTTCGAACAAGTTTTCTCGTTTTTAATAACAAACTAAAGGCTATGAGGCACTGATTATATATTAGTGCCTCATAGCCTTTAGTTCCCAGTAGATAGCTGGGAAACTTTCTCCAAATGATAAGTTATTTAGAGAAAGTTTCCCAGCTATCTAGAGGGAATTGTTCCTTATGATGTATATATTTATAATGTATGCATCATAAGGAACAATTCCCTCGCTGAAGTGAGAAAACTTGTTCGCAATCATTTCGCATTGCGAACAAGTTTTCTCACTTTTAGTAGGGAACTAAAGGCTATGAGGCACTGATTATATATTAGTGCCTCATAGCCTTTAGTTCCCTGTAGAAAAGATCGAAATTTTATTCTGATTTTAACTGATCTATATTTCGCTTGCGTTATTTGAATCTTTTCTTTTGCATATGTCATTCCTTTCACTTTTCGAATTTCATTTGCCTGCATGCTCTCTCGTTTTGGTTGAAAATCAACTCAATCTTAAAATGAACTTCTTCATTCTTTACAATAAATTCAATTTTTTTCGAGATATATCTTTATCTACCCCTATGTGAGCTGCATATTCTTTCTCGCTAAATTCTTTTGATTCTTAGAGCTAAAAATCAAGTTTAATAAAAATAATGTTTATTCATAATTTTGAAAACCAAATTCAAATTTGAATGAGAATTTTTGAAAAAATATAGAATATTTCAATAGTTTGGAATCTCTTCAACTTCCCACTGCTTATTAACACATTTTTTCCAGAGCGGTTTATCATCCTTGGTCCATTTCTTAAATTTGTTGTAAACCTCTCTTGGAGTGTATGGTCGAACTCCAATTTTTGGATGAGCGCCATGTGGCATGTCATTGTATTTTTGCCTGAATTCTTCCAATTCCTGATTGATGCTCTCAAATTCTGAAGACTTTGGAGCATTTTTGTCCAGTGATGGCCAGAGGCGTTCAATTTTGCCATTTTGACGTGGCATGTATGGAGCTGATTTTCTGATTTGAATGTCATAAGTACTCAAAAATTTTGTGAACTCTCCCTCATTTTCTTTACCGTTATCTGACCAGAAACAGAAAGGTGCTCCATATTTTTGAACTGTTGCAATTGCCACTTTTGAAGTTTCTGTTGAACTTTTGTTACGAAGCAATTTCAATGCTAACAAATAACGACTTTTGTCATCAATTATTCCATAAACCGGTAAAGTTTCTGGTTCTTTCAAAAAATGAATATCCACATGCCAGATTGTATTTGGAAGAATTGCTTCATAATCCACATAATATGCTTTTGGATTACTTTTATCTTTTTCTTTGTAAATTCCCAGAAATTTTGCTGCCTTAATAACTGCATTGTAACTGATTTGAAATTGTTTTGGATTCATATTGAGAGTCCAATACAATTTTTGAACCCCACATTTGTAATTTTCATAAGAATTCTGAACCTTCAAAATTAATTCTGGAGTTAATTCCTCTTGTGGAGGACCACTTTTAATTTTTGGTGTACCACCGATTTCTTTGAATGCTTTTTTGAGAGTATTTCTTGAAATTTGTTTGAAAATTGTAACATTTTGATAAGAATATGGAACTTTTTTCAAAACTGTTGCGTATGTTAACTCACCATAAGGATGTCAATTCGGAAAATTGTTTTCATTTTAGGAGAATATAATTTTCCTTTTCGAAAATTTAAAAAGTGAGACGCGCAGGATTCGAACTTTTTTAAAAGTTGATTTAAATATATTCTAGTGTGGATTTTAAGGATAATATAAAAAAAGGTAGTGGGGCTTCCAGGCACTTCGTGCCCTCTAGCCCCGAAGATGTTTAGTATAAATGAAGTTTTTATTCGGAAAATTGTTAGTCTTCTGGTGTGAATTCGGAGGACTCTTCTTCTTCCTCCATTGCTTCTGGGAAGAAGCCTTCTTCTGGGTCGAAAACATTATATAATGTGTCGCTTTTCACAAATTATATATGTTTTCATGTTTTGTCACTTTTCTGTCACTTTTCGGGTAAAAACATTTTTATTATTATATATAAATGAATTTTACAAAACCACCGTTACCGTTCTTTGGAAATAAGAGTAAATGTAAAGATATTATATTGAGAGAACTTAAGAAACTACCGAATGGTCTAACATTTGTAGATTTGTTCGGTGGAAGTTTCTATATATCCCATTTGTGCCATACAATATTCCCAGACTCAAAGATTATATGCAATGACTTCGACAACTATATGGACCGTCTCAAACATATACCAGACACAAACAATATATTGAAAGAGTTAAAAGAAAAGATACCTATAGGTAAGATGGAACGTATACCATTAGATAACAAAAATATTGTGAGAGAGGTTTTGAAAAAAGCAGAATATATAGACTGGGATAGTATATCTGCTAGACTATTATATAGTGGTTCTATAAGAGTTCATGACATTGAAACACTTATGTCAAAAGTTTTATATCTTAACTATACAAATGTTTTCAAAGAGGACATAGAAAAATATATTGAGGGTATAGAGTTTGTGAGATGTCATTGGACAGAGTTGTATGAAAAATATAAAGACAAGGAAAATGTTTTTCTTTATAGTGGACCCGCCGTTCTATAACACATGGGATTTTCAATACCAAGTAGACTGGACTTTGAGAGACTCTTTAGAAACTTTAGACGTTTTACATAACCATTCATGCTTTTACTTTACATCCGATAAAAGTGGTTTGGAAACCGTTATGAGATGGTTAGAGGACATACATGACTATGAGTTTAGATATGACAAGATAGAATATGAGAGAGGTCCTATAAACCGGAGAAAGTGTCATAACAAAGAAATTTTATTAGTAAGTAAATGTGGTTTGAAATAGGACTACTTGTTTTAGGTTTTTTTCCATTGTGTCATTTATTTCTTTGACGTGGCAGAAAGATATAGAGAATATGAAGATGAACCAATGCCTGCAAATGTTCAGTATATGTACTCGTAAGAGATATTTTTATCTAATATTAAATGGACGCACAGAACTTAGCGAATGCACAGCAACCTGGACAACCAAACCCAGAGAATATTCCAAATGAAGTTAGAATACAAACTGCAATGGCAAACTATGGTCAAGTGCCAACAGATGTACAAATGCAAACTGCCATGTCAAATGACGCTGCGTTAGGTTTGCCACCATGGTATGCAAATATGAGATGGAAAGAGTTTTATACAAACCCTGAAGTGGGATATAAACAACTTTATGCAGATGACGCGAACACAGGAGTTGACCCAGAATATGTTTTCTACCAGAGGAGAAACAGAATGTATGAGCTCCAGTTAAAGAATGCTATGGAACTCAACAGGAAACGCAAAAGACTAGGCGGA